TTCTTCACCTCACTCCGCACTGCACTGGAATGGGAAACGACCCAGACTAAAACACACACTACTAACACAACCAAAAGATAAGGACGGTCTGGCTCTCCCAGACTTCTCCCTCTACTACAGTTCCTGCCACTTCCTACGGGTAATAGAATGGACTAAAAATGGGATATATAAACTGTGGAAACAAGCAGAGGAAACTTACGGTGGGCATTCCCGTCGCGGTTCTACCATGGCTGCCACCGGAAACCCCGATGGGAGGAAAGGATATCCTCCCATGCACAAGAGCCACCCTACAAGAGTGGCATCGCACAAAAGGGAGACACGGTCTCACATCGTATCCAACACCTCTACTCGCACTGATACTCAACCCAGACTTCCCACCGGGCCTAGACCCAAAAGCATTCACAACACTAGTCCAGGACCCCATTCCCAGACTTAGACACGTCTATACGACAAAAGGCACTAAGACACTCAACGACCTGAGAGGAGAAACAGAACACACTCTCTTGACACGCGTGAAACATAAACAAATCCAGAGTTACATAGCAACCCTCCCACAGGGAGAAATACCATGGGCCCCTACTGCCTTCGAAGAGATATGCTTGGACCCAGACCCAATAGCCCATGGAGTATCCTTCATATACACGCTACTGCTGACACAGAGACCAACCGCACAGCCTTACCTAATTACCTAATTTTAAGACCTGCTTAGGAACAGATGATTGTTATCATGTCCTGATATGTAAAACCATAGACTTCAAAGAGGGTGTGATTTCTTTTTCCCAAGACTGACACCAACATGTGCATCCGAGCCTAGGCTTGTGGCAGGTAGCATTGGGTACTGCAGATATTGTGGACTGCGTTTCCCATGATTCTATGCTAGATGTGTCCTGGATGGAGAAACCTTTTATCCTACAATCACGGCATTTAATGCACAAGGTTGCTGTGTTCTCATAGCAGAAAAAAAACTGACTGCATTCAGCGTGACTAACTGACTCACCCTCAGACTCCAGACTATGCCAGTCTTAGAATCCTTTTGCTATAAAATCTTTAATAATTGATATCTGACACTGACAATCATTCTGTTTTCTCTTTTCTTGATAACTTTATAAAAAATGTGCAATTATATCCTAAACCACAACTGTTATTTCTTGTTTATATCGATACATGCTACTGCTGTTGTGGCAAGGCGTGAAAGCTTGTTATATTAACTCATGCACAAAAAAATAAAGAATAAAAAAAAAAAAATTGATATCTGTATCGCATGGCGACTTTAACATTTTATGATTAGCCAGTAATATATTAAGTGGAGGCTAGTCCGTATTGGCAGAAACATTTTTGTTCTAACAAAAAAAAGTTCAAAAATCTATTGTTGTAGTAAGGACTAAGGACTACAGTTTAGTTGCCCCCTCCATGTTTTTATGGCTGGGAGTGCTACCAAAACCTGAGCAGCTAGTCACATCAAGATTTTGAGCCATTTCTTTTTTTTAGAAAATGCCCTTTTTACTGGTTATAAATCTCTTAGACATGCTTTGTCCACTGTGACAAAATATGTGACATCACCCATTGGATTTGCATTGGACCGTCAGATCCTGGAAGCCCTAAGAGACAGGGTCTCATTTTGTTCCATCTTCAAAGGCTTATGGTGTTGAACAAATTATGATGTCTAATTGGGCAAGGGCTTGAGTACGTAAAATAGGTGAAATAGACAGAGGACAAAAAAGTAGGGCACAGATTGCTTATTGGGGTACAAGCTAACACCCCACCATATTTAAACTTCACCGATTACATTTCTTTCTATTCAGCATATTGAGAATTATACATTTGAAAGCTCACAAGTTATTATCATAGGTCTCTCATTATATAGAAGGGAGAAATGGCAAAAATGCTACAATTATTTTAAATTTAAAAAAAAAACATGGTTAAGTTTCATGTCCCAAAATTATTATACAAAAATCAGTGGTGGTGGTGGGGTTTAACCCTTTAAGGACACATGACATGTGTGACATGTCATGATTCCCTTCCCTTTTATTCCAGATGTTTGGTCCTTAAGGGGTTAAACACTTTGATTTCTAATGCTGTATGTACATAAGCTAAATCGTGTTATGGATTGCGAAGCAATGCTTAGGGGGAACACTGATCAATGCTGAGCTTCACTTCTTACTTTAAATCTACGTAATGGCCTACAGGGGGCACTGTCATGTGAGCTTTATCTGCATCCACTTTTCCTTTGCATGGTCAAAAACTGTCAAACTACCGGAATGGTTATTGAAAATTTGAAAAACGTATTATTGTTGCAGAACGTTTGCAAATCAGTTTCCAATTTAGTGCAAGGTAATGTTTACTTAATAAAATCCAATGTGAGCCAAACTAAAATGGAGAAAGGGGAATGATGCGTTATATTAATGAGCAAGAGATAAACGGCACCCCGATATATTGTGCGCTACCAAAGAATACAATGTTCTCAAGAAGAGAATGAAAAAAACAGTAAAAAGCCAAATGATATTAGAACAAATTATTAATTCTCTCCAAAAACAATCAGTCTAAATCTAATGTTTTTCTTTTAAATGAAGGCCGTGACCTGTCAAAACAAAGATTCTTATAAATGAAAAAAAGGGAGCAATAACGGCTAGATGCTGTCAGTATAAGATATTCAAAGTGAGCGTCTGCTATTTAATGGTAGAGCAATATTATGGCGGGTACCGACACAGATAGGCAATGATCCGGTTGAAGGAGCATCTCATACGAGCCCCGTGTGGTCAAAGTAGATAGTACATCAAACAGCTGGAGGCAGATATGAAGCAGGATGTCTGCTGATAACATGCCCCCAGGTATTTTAATAAGGATTCAATTCAGAGAATAGAAAAGTTAAAAAAGATTAAAATTTAGAATATATCTTTTATACTGTGTATTATTTTCTGTACAGAATAAAGGTAGCATGATTTTCATGGTTTTGTAAATCTGGCATTACCTTAAATATCGTTTGAGAAGATGGTGGCACATGATACCAGATATGACAGTACTGACATTTTGCAAGGTGCGATCGCTATTAAAAATTGAATATGTATTTGCCACTGTATGCCTTAGCAATATTTTCTTTTGCATTGTAAATGCCTGCTTAATTGCTTAATTTTCCCTCTGCTCTGCTGCTAGCTTTAACCTGAAAGAGAAACTAATTTCTCTAGTGGAACGCTGTGTTGTGAAATGCGTGGGGTGATTTTAATTTGTTAAAGAGCACCAAATTCAATCTATACATTGTGCTAGCAGTTTTGCTAGAAAATGTATAGATTAGGAGAAATAGCTATATAATAACAGGATTTTCTCCCATCTGACTCTCAATTAGACTAACGAATGCTGAAGAATTGAGAACCAGGTGTATGCCCTGTAGTTGTTATGGTAGCTCCCTAGCCAGTGTTGATAGCACTGGCTAACAAGTATAGGAAAGGTGTGACGTGATGTCCGTTGAGAAGCTGGCAATGGAGCCAATGTGTTGGCATCATGAAGGAGGTTTGTCTTGCTTGGAAAAGTATCCCCAAACAGGGCAAATCAACAAAGAACCCAGGAGGAGTACAGGCAGACCAGAGGTGGGTGTTACAGAAGTATAACAACCACCTCTTTAATGAGATTTCAGCGAAGGAGTGGAGGACCAGGTAAGACGTGACAGTTTCCCTTTAACATATTATATTTATTTTACTTTACATTTAATAGACATTATTGCCAAGTCCCCATATGTATGTCCACCTTCAGCTGCTATAGGCTGTGCTAGGAGTCCGTTCCTCCAAAATCGTGTAACAAATGAAGCACAAAACACACTGGATTTTACTGACGTATTTATTCATCACAAGACAGCGCGTCAAACATTTCGTAAGCATTTTCTTAAGATATGTTTGCAAAAACCACAACTCCATCTAATGCGTTAAAACCATGAAATCAATTGATTACCCAAACTGTATCTGTCTATTATTCCATTCAATAACGAAGCTATAGTTGGGCAATTAAATGTATCTTGGGTTGTTAGCGCTATATATATCTCTGCCAGGATAAATACGAATCAACTAATCTGCTTACGGTTTTAATGCTAGATAGAAGTTGGGGTTTTGCAAAAAAAAACAACCAGTAAATTTTAGCTATTTAACCCTTGGCAGAATTAGGCACATTTAACCTTTTGAATGGCAACCATAGAAGACTTGTGTCATCACCAAAGTGGACTTGAAATGCTATTCTCACCTTGCCTGTTAAAGGTAAATATCTTATTTTTTTGTGTCTTTTTGTTATAGTCATATTGAGTGTTAAAAGATGTGGGCTTCTACCAGCCTGGTGTGCCCCTATAATAAATGCTACTTTGTTATATTATTGTTATTTAAAATATTTTTGGGACTTGGTAATGTCCTCCGGTGTGAGCCGCTGTGTGCCCTGACTATACAGGTAGCACTTTCCTAAGTCCAAAACCCCTGAATAAGGGACCAGAAACTGGGTGCTGATTTACTTCAGTTTGTCACTGTAGCAGAATGGACATCTGAAAGCTACTTTTTATCCCCTATATTGGCTGTCCATATCTTCCCCCTGTTATTTCGTGTGTTTTGCCCCGGTTATTTCGTGTGGTTCTTCTTTGGCCGTTCGGGAGACTTCATACGAATGGAATCCATTAGTCTCCCAAACAAGGACCACCCCTGTACCCCATTAGAACATTAACACCAACCACTTAAGTGCGAAACCTCAAGTGAAACAATTAATGAGTGTTTCTCTTGCGTGGCCGCCATTTCGGATAACCGAACATGTGGCTGGGAGAATGGCGGCCATCTTGTCTCCCGAACTAGGTCGTCGAGTGCGTGGAACTATTTTCGGCTTTGCACTCGCGCGAACCCCGCAAAACTGTCGACCGCTTTCTGTTTCTGTTCCTGACCACCTAAACGAACGGCGTTCGGGAGATAGAAAGCACCGAACAAGGGGAGCATTCGTATTGTGAAAGCAAGAGATTCCCTTGTATGGTTTTCGCACAGGAACCTCACGAACAGAGACGGGTCAGTGCACCTATTCTCCTGGAACTATTTTCAGCTACCGCCTCGTGTCTGGCCGGTCAAATCTTCCACACAATGCCATTCCCGTTCTACTGAACCGATCTTAGTGATTCCTGCATATGTTGGTCACTCAGATCGGGGCTATCAGGGAATGTACATTTTTTGCGGGTTCTTATGCATGGTTGGGGGACTTTTGGGGTGCGGGAGAATTAAATTGGAGGAGTTTACTCAGGCAATTATCTCTCAAGCACAAGGGATCCTGGGATTGAAACCTTTGCATTTTCTGCCTGTGAGACCCCTTGCGTGGGAGATGGCATTAAAAGCTGTCTATGTGTGAATACAATTCAGTTATACACCCCAGAGCTGAGTGTCGTCCAGTTGCTGGGAATGAGGTAGGAGATTCTTGGATATCTTTGCTGTGCCTGACTGTTCCATCGGATTGTTTCACTTTTTCCTGAGTATATTTTGGAGTACCCAGCGGAGGAGAGTCCCTGCAAGGACTAGGGCTCAGCTATAGTCACGAATGTTAGGAATTTGTAGAAATAATGTTCTAATATAATCATATAACATCTAAGGAATTTTACAACTGAAGAACGGTTGTAGTGCCATATTTGTTATTTGCGCCGTCGTAATAAGAAGGTTAAGAACTGTACGACCATTGTACAGCCCTATGGAATTTGCTGGCCCTATACAAATAATAAAATAATAAAATAATAATAATAATAATAATAATAACTGTTTCTTGGTGTAATTGTTCGGAGGATTGGCAACCTGCTACCCACAGCTTAGAGGAGTCATTGACGCTGGGGGAAGTGAAAGATGAAAGCCTCTTTTTAACTAAAAGGCTATAGCCTTCAAAAACGTAAAGTATTATTATATATTAATACGTCCGACAACGTATCAAAACATAATTATTTATGATATTTCCCTTTAAGACTTGCCAGTGGTGAAATGAAGCGAATCTCCGTTCTCGAGCGATGGTTGTTTTTATATAAGCCTGGAACAGCCACAAAGCTTTGGGATTTTGAAGCTCACAGCTTGAATTTTCGCTCAGTTCCTGTAGAGTAGATAGGATGAAAGCACTTCCTTGAGGAATTCAGACTGTACACGACAAGCTAAAAGCGTTAGATTTGACATTAATTTACCTTCAAGTTCCCCACGTGTGAATTTTTTTTTTTTTAATGGCAATGAAATGGCCCATTTTAACCCTAGGGTGTGATCAAAGCACTGTATAGTAATGTGTTAATCAAGCCTCTCCGCTTCCTTCAACGGGTTAAGTTTCTCGACTGTAAATCCTTATGAGATAGTCCAGTAACAACCAGCATGCAGGGTGATCAGGCATGAAATAGACTTTTTTTTAAAACTGCATTTTATATTTGCTGTAAACAAAGTGCGAGGGATTTCTCACCTGCGCCTTATAATATAGTTGTTTAAATTTAAAGAGTTTTACAAGCAGCATGCTCTATTACACCCCAATCTGCTGTAAACTACTGCTCCCCAGAGAGAAATTAAGACGGGAATAGCTAATGTTAATGTACATTTTATAGGTTTGTTTTTCTTCCCTGTTTTGTTCTTATTTTAGCACAGGAGATTTGGTAAGTAGTAAATAGTAGTATTAGGAGCTTACGTGCATATATTATATTTTATATAAAATTAGTCATTTCAAATATTTAGGCTCCAGATTCTGATGATGTCGTTAGATTTCATTGATGCTTAAAGGGGTAATAATCCTAGGGGCTCTTTTGCCAATTTGAGGTCCATTTGCATTGAGCGGGGTATATATTATAACGAATCAAGGTAAAATCTCCCACACTGGTCACACACACACCCAGCCTTCACCAACAGGCATTACATAGGGGATGTATTATAATTGAAAAGGGGAGTACTTGGTCATTCCATACCTCTCAAATACTAATTTCACCCCAATAATCTCCCTATAATATAGACCCCCTAATAGCACCATGGTATATCCAGCCCATGTGACACTTAGGGCATAAAATCCTTGCCTCCACCTATACCCCTATGCTCATGTAGGTATATGCATGAAGTCAGGGATGACCTGTAATTGGACCTTGGGTATATTTCCAAAATTGTAATGAAGTCACCAAATGGTTAATACCCTGCGTTGTCACAAAACTGCTACTACCACAATTCTCATACAGAATGTCTACATACAGTAAGTAGAGTTTACAGTTAAATCCAAGTATGGGTACAGCACTGAGTATTACAGGTTTCAGCTACTTAAAGTGATATTGTAATGTTCCTCTATTTATTTATATTTATGTATACGTATGCCTATATTTAAGAAATAAGCTTTTGTAAGATGTGAAAAAAGAAATGTAGAAATTCACTTTTTTATTTAATCTTTATTTTTGCCACAGTGATACACGAGTAAGGCGCAGTTAAACTCCGACAGAGACAAGAAATTCACATCTTTTAATCCAGGAACTGAGTGCCTCCGTCTAAGCTCCCTGTCAATCAGTTATCATTTTCAGCCACAGCCAGTGTGGAATCATAGAAGGGTGTAATGACTTCATTCGTGGCTTGGTATCTATACAGAGTTTATAATAGATATACTAAATTTGTAATAACCCCTTACAAATACCCCTTTCCTGTAAATCATATTATTTAGTGGTTTCTCTGAACTTAAAATGAGAAATCAATGTTTTCATGTGCTACCTAAACCTGTGGCTTATCTCTTTTTTTTTTTTCAATTTGAATTTTATTCAAAATTTTATCAGGAAACATCTGTAATATAATCTGCGTAATAAAGTTATACACTGACGTATTAACACTGTTGACTGTATATGATCTAAATAACAGTTGTCTATACAATCATTGTTATTTTGAGTATGTCATAAGAAACGTTATTACATAAGGAAACAATATGTACGGGCGATGCAGAACAAGGGATATCATAAATGCAGTAGAACTCTTTAGTATACGGCCAAGGACAGATTTGCGTCTGTGCTTCCTGCTATCACCATTACTGAGCTTTACATGTTGGGGTGGCAAAGGCCCGTACAACTGTGGTTTAAGGAGGTTTAACAGGCTTTCATAGCTCGCGGTGTGGTGCCAGCTTGGTTCGAGTTTCGTTATGTGAGTCTCTGAATTTTGAGGTGCCCGACCGAGTGCCAGGGTTTGTTTGTACTGGTGTCCTTGTCTCTCTGTGGGGGCTGTGCCTTTTTGTTTGGAGATTTGACCTTCTGTTGGGACCCAACGGTGTTGCTGGTTGCGGGCTCTCAGTCATTTTTGGGTGTCTCTAAGGGTGTCTCTGTGGTGGCTGCTCTTGTGCGGGTCATGAGCCCGAGTTTCTGCAGCAGTGGCTCTGGATCCTCTGTTGATGTCAGCGTTGCTGTCGTGTCTCCACTGGTCACCACAAGGGATCCCCCCAGTCTCCAGCGGTACCGTATGGAGTTATCTCTGAGCTTTCTGGCAGTGGGAGCCAGCTTCCTCCTTTCCGCTAGGGCAGAGTATCGTATGTCCGCATAGATGGAGACCGCCTGGCCGTTCCCTGTTCTCTAGAGCACTTCATAACCGCCACCTTCACTGCGATGTCCCGGGTTATGGCTATTACGTCCCTGGGCGCGCTTGGAGCCGCAGCTGATTTCCAAACTCTGAATGCTGAGGTGATCGTGTGTTGGGGAGGGTTGTCCCTGATGACCATGGTGTCTTTGAGGTCTCTCACAAAGGTGAGTATCGTTTCGTCAGGTACTTGTTCTGAGATTCCCCTGAGACGCAGATTTTTTGGTCTGTGGCGTGTTTCCAGGGTGGTCACTGCTTGGGTCAGTTGTTGGACCTGGGAGGAGAGGCTGTCCAGTCTGGCGTCGGTGGTTTGTATGTGTTTGTTTCTGGAGGACTCTCTACCTTCCATCTCCTGTACCCTGTGACGGATCTCCCCTATTTCAGCTTGGGCTGCTTGGAGGTCTTCCTTCCATACCTTCTGGAGGTCGGTCAGTAGCCTCCTTATATCCCCTTTTGTGGAGAGTGTTTCATCCTCATCAGTGTCCGACTGCTCAGACTCCGCTCCTGAGAGGGGAGAGCTCAGCTGGTCTTCCTCCTCCTGGGAGGCCTCTGATGGCTCCGGCGTCCCCTGCTCCTCTGGCGCCATTTTGGTCTGGTGCTGTGCCACCGGCTTCTCAAAGGAGAGCCAAATATCTTGCTGCCGGGGAGCTGCCAGGTGATGTGGCTTCTTGTGTTTGCGCCCCATAGCCTCTTTGTGTGGGGGTGTCGGTGTGGTCGTTGGGATTGCCGTTTTAGTGGCTTTTTTCTGCTTCTTTCCCCGGCTCAAACCGGCTTATCTCTTTCAAATAATCATTATAGGGGGCGGGGCCTGACCTCCGAGCTGCATGGCTACATGAAACGAGCTCTCTGTGCTAGCCTCTCTAAAAAGCAGAAATCCTGACACTTATCTCAGGCTCGAACACCACCAAACTATGAGGGGCAGCCAGCATTAGCCTAGCCCTAGCACCCCTTCTGGGAGGCTTCTAAGCCCGGGCAAACAAGCTACTCCTGAAGGTGAAATTGCGGCCTACAGTCAGAGGCGAGCGCGGGAGAAGTGGCTGACCTCCCGGCTGCTTGTCCTGCTGGCAATAGCTGACGAAGCTATGTTACCCCCCAGCCGGCGGGGGTCATTCTGGCAAGTAACAGTAACGTGTGGACTTTCACAACTTGTCAGCCCCAGCTGCAAACACACGGTCGTGCTACCGAGACCAAGATGGCGGCGTCTGACCTTACTGCTGAGGCAAGCGGGCTGCACAACACACTCGAACAGGGCCTGGCAGAAGCTGCTAAGCAGAACAGACCGAACCCTGCGGGAATAGCAGAGACCGGTAAATTAGAGGTACTCACCTCCCGACCAGCAACACCTCAAGGCGGGCAACAGACGGAAACCACTGACACCGCCTTAGAGTAAGATGCCATTGAGGAAGAAGCCACGTCTTAAACAGTCCAAAGCCTGCAGCTGCCTTCCTCAGCAGAGGGCCCGGAGGGGGAACACTTGGAAGCCTATCCCACCTATTCAGATGGTGCGACCACACACCATGACACCCCGAGATATCACTTGCAGCTCAGAGAGCAGCTGGAGCAGTGGGACTTGCACACGGGCTCTTGTGAAGACCCAGGCCGGCGGAGCGGTCAACAAAGGACTCTCAACATGGAAATCACAGAGTTCGGGAGACCTCCCAGTGGCATCAGTTGAACAGAGACTCCACTGTCAGTATCATGACTAGATAGGGATTTCTGTTCTCCTCTCCTCTGAGTTTTTAAGCCATATTGAATATTCAGTGGTTAGTGTGCTAAATCGATGTTAACTATCACCTAGCCTAACCACGACATATACACAAAGCCTGACATAGTTAGCAACATCCTGAAATCCCTTACAGTCAACCTTTCTCTTCTATGAGCACAGCATCTTTTGTCATCCCAGACATGCCAGCTTGCCTGATGTAACCTGTAGTTACCTATATTACTCTCATTAAATCTTGAAAGACTAGCAGGTTTATAACGACAGCATTTCCATATATATCGGTCAAGCAGTGTAAACTACTCACAACCCTGCACAACCAGCTAGACCTAGATATGCGAGATATGCTTGTTACTCAGCCTGTTTTTCCTTTAATACGTGTGTTTTTGTTCTAAGTTTAAACGTGCATCACTCTTGATTTTAAAAAAAAAAATCTGCGCAGTTCTGCCTATATGCCTATTGTTAACATTTGTCTTATTTTTGCTGTTGTGGCATAGTGAGAATGCCTGTTACTCTCACGCATGTCATAAATAAAGAATTTAAAAATAAATCATCATTATAAAGTATTCTTTTCAATACAGAGATATTTGTTAACTGAACACTAAACACAGCATTTCTTTTAAAAATAACTAAAAGATGTACTTTAAAGGGACACTCCAGGCTACGATTGATCCCATTTGTTCATATATTGTAAATATTATTATTACAGTGTGTGTCGGACCGGGTGCCTCCGCCCATCGATGCTCCTAATGCTCACCGAGGACTCCAAGCACTCCACCAGACACCATAAGCACTGTAGCCCCTTAGCCTCCACAGCTTGGCTGGGGTCTCGCCGTCCCTTCCCACCCTAGACCAAACTCCTGGATCCAGTTCCCAGTGGGTAGGCCTCTCCTCCAAGAGAGTATAGCAGGAACAGCTCTTATAAGAGCTAGTGATTATAATCCAAGGGAATTGTAATTTGGTAAATTCAATTCATTAATAAAGAAAATATTTCCTATAAAATGGTACCAGGTATTTATTTTGTTGTTTCAGGTACAATTCAGCAGCGTTCACTATAAATGAATCAATTAATGAATTTACAGGATACACCTGGTCAGAAAAAGACACTATGTAGACAAGCTATCCTTTAAGTCACTATTTACATGTTGAACCAGAAGATGAAATATACAAGTGATGATGAGACACCTTCAGACTCACATGAGATGTGGCTCATTTAGGTAGTTTAATGTGTATGTTCCATTCAGAGAAGTATTCCTGTTTGGATTTTAGGGTTATTACACCCTCTAGTGGTTGTAATAGTTAACGATTTGCTACATTAAATTGATTACAAAAAAAGATTTTCTGATAGAAAAAAAGAAACAAAGAACCTAAAAGTGATATAAAGACGATTCTTCTATTTGTTAACCGAGGGAGTAATCACTGAGACATTACAGGACACTGAGGTTCCTTCTTCAGGACCTTAGAAAGTCGGTTAAACAAGGACCATCTATACTGGTCAATGTTATTGCTGGGGTGAAGGTATTATTAGTACTTCTTACCATGAACCCTATATCCTTGACTCTCTAGGCTACTTATTACAGTGAAAAACGATTACATTCTTGTTGCAGTTTTTTCCAGTAAGGTATCATTTATACCTTATTGTGATACCTGTCACCCGGGGTATCCAGTTCCTTGATAAACTAATTTAGCAGGCCTTTTTTTTTTTTTTATGATTTTGAAATTGTAGAGCAGTGGTTTCCAAACTAGTGTTCAAGGCACGCCTAGCGCCCAGGATATTATCCAGTTGTGTCAAGGTGTTGTTTTTTTCCTTTCTAAAACCAGCTTGGGCACAACTGGGTAATCCCTAAATCCTGGACTGGTAGGCGTGCCTTCAGAACATGCTTCATCTTGCCAAGTTATTCAAAGCACAGCCAGGTCCTCACCTGATCTACACCTGAGGTGAGGGTACACGGCACATGAAGGGTTAGATCAGTGGTTACACCACTGCCTTATAACCAGGAAACTCCGATTTTAATTCTAAACAGATTACCTTACTCGTAAGTGTGTCTGGGCAAGACAATTAACAATATATATCCCGCTCCCTCAAATCCTCATAGATTGTAAGCTTGTCTGAACAGGGCCTTCTTTAACTCTAGTCTCTGTTCTCAAATATCCCCTCTCTATAACTGTGAAGCACTGTTGAGGTGGCATACATACCGGGGGCGCAGGGATCGCGGCTGCAACCGAGCCGGCCTACCAGGGAGCCCAGCCACCCTGCGACCCGGTATGTATGCCAGTGTGGCCAGCATCTTCTCCTGGAGGCCCAGGAGCCAGCCACCTCAGGGCCACCCATATGCCGGAACCGGAATATGACGTCATATTCTGGCTCCGGCATCAGTAAGCATAGAGCGCTCAGCCAGGGAGAGTGCTCCCTCGCATGCCCACAGGACCAGCCCCTGGACAGCACCACTGGACAGACAGCCAGACAGACAGCCCGCCCGGTGACCGGTCGCCCAGCAGCACCACTGGACCCCAGGGAATCCCCTCAGCTCTCATAGTGAGTGTCAGTGCGTGTGTTAGTTTTTGTGGGTGTGTTAGTTTGTGTGTGTCTGTTATTGAGTGTGTGTCTGCTAGTGAGTGTCAGTGAGTGTGTTAGTTTTTGTGTGTGTGTGTTAGTTTGTGTGTGTCTGTTATTGAGTGTGTGTCTGCTAGTGAGTGTCAGTGTGTGTTTGTTAGTTTGTATGTCAGTGAGTGTGTGTGTGTGCGTCAATGAGTGTGTTAGTTTGTGTGTGTCTGTTAGTGAGTCTGTTTGATGTCTGTTAGTGAGTGTGTGTTTGTCAGTGAGAGTGTATGTTTTGTAAGTGAGTGTGTATGTGAGTCTGTCTGTCAGTGAGTGTGTATGTATGTATGTCGCTGAGTGTGTCTCTGTCAGTAAATGTGTGTGTCTGTTAGCTAGTGTGTATGCGTCTGTTCATGAGAGTGTGTGTGTGTGTGTGTTTAAAACCCCTTCAGCACTTACCTTTCTCCAGCGCCGGACTTCCTTGGCGCTGGGGATCCCTCCGCCACGATCCACCTCTCGCGCACATTCAAACTGCCCATAGTAAAGCATTACTCAATGCTTTCCTATGGAGGTCCAGCATCTTCTGACTATGGTTTTCACATTGAGACTCGCAGAAGCACCTCTAGCGGCTGTTAGTGAGACAGCCACTAGAGGCTGGATTAACCCTCAATGTAAACATAGCAGTTTCTCTGAAACTGCCATGTTTTCAGCTGAAGGGTTAAAACTAGACCTGGCACCCAGACCACTTCATTGAGCTGATGTGATCTGGGTGTCTGTAGTGGTTCTTTAAGTGTATCTGCATGCACTGGCCCGCCGCCATGTGTTCCGACCCAGGCAGAGTAAGCGCCGGTGGGGGCCACGGATCAATTTTCGCACCAGGGCCCCATGGGTCGTGGAACATATTGGTGTTATATAAATGATAGTAACTGTGCCCTGTGATTTAGGATAGCAGCTCATTGTAAAATAAACACTGCATTTATTAGATGGGTTTGCAGGCACCTTATTCTTCTCTGCTGTTCCCAATGTGTGAAGGAATGTCCCTGACTCACCACCAGAATTGGGATTTCCATACTAAAAGATATAAATCACATGTACTAAAGGTGGAGGGGTATTAGACATACGGTCAGTCCATGTTAGACATTATGGACCTGTGACGGTAAGGTAATAACATCCTTAGCTGGGTGTGCTAGACCGATGACCATCGCACAGAAAATCCAACTGCACACCTTCTACAGAGCAATCCTTCCCACTGACATTGGTAAGGAAAAGTCAGCTAATAACCTCTTTTCTAGACCACTGTTCCAGATAGGGCTGATGCACTTACCATCTACTGAACCACAGCCCCAGGCAAGTCTAATGTACTCTCCATCACCTGCTCACATTCAAAGTCACTGTTACAGGTAAAGCTAATTCACTTGCCACCAACTGCTTCATACAGTTTGCCTATGTACATCCACCAACTGCTACTCTAAATAGGTAATGCCAACCCATCTGTCACCAACTGCCGTGATACATTCTGCATCAGTGGCACATGCAAGACCGACACATCTGCCACCAACTGCTGTGATACACTCTGGATCAGTTGCACAGGTAAGGCTGACCTATTTGCCACCAACTGCTGTGATACATTCTGGATCAGTGGCACAGGTAAGGCCAACCCACCTTCCACCAACTGCTGTGATACACTCTGGATCAGTGGCACAGGTAAGGCTGACCTATCTGCCACTAACTGCTGTGATACATTCTGGATCAGTGGCACAGGTAAGGCTGACCTATCTGCCACCAACTGCTGTGATACATTCTGGATCAGTGGCACAGGTAAGGCCAACCCACCTGCTAGCAACTAATGTTATACATTCTGGATCAGTGGCACAGGTAAGGCAAACCCACCTTCCACCAACTGCTGTGATACATTCTGGATCAGTGGCACAGGTAAGGCCAACCCACCTTCCACCAACTGCTGTGATACACTCTGGATCAGTGGCACAGGTAAGGCTGAACTATCTGCCATCATCTGCTGTGATACATTCTGAATCAGTGGCACAGGTAAGGCCAACCCACCTGCTAGCAACTAATGTTATACATTCTGGATCAGTGGCACAGGTAAGGCCAACCCACCTTCCACCAACTGCTGTGATACACTCTGGATCAGTTGCACAGGTAAAGCTGACCTATCTGCCACCAACTGCTGTGATACATTCTGGATCAGTGACACAGGTAAGGCCAACCCACCTTCCACCAACTGCTGTGATACACTCTGGCTCAGTGGCACAGGTAAGGCTGACCTATCTGCCACCAACTGCTGTGATACATTCTGGATCAGTGGCACAGGTAAGTCGCAACTAATGTTATACATTTTGGATCAGTGGCACAGATACGACTGACCCATCTGCCACCAACTGCTGTGATACCTTCTGAAACAGTGACAAAGCAGTTCCAACCCACATCCCACCAACTGCTGTGATAAGTTTCGTATCAGTGGCACAAGTAAGTTTTGCTTAGCCATCTCTATGTATTTATGGTTTATTTAATTTGTGCAGTTTCAAAGATGATTATGACACAATGTGGTCATCTGCCATCTCTCCTTCTTCTTTATATATTTTGCCTTTATTTCTGTCAGTCTTGAAGACTGGCAGGACAGAGTTAGAGAGATTATGATTTCATCTTCTTTTATCTTCATCATTAATGTTTCTGTATTTTAAATTCATTCTTAAAGTATAGGTCACTACAGAACTGACCCTGTACCCTGATCCTGGGAGAACCTTCTTTATCAATGTAAATAATTTACTTTGACAATATAGATTAAGAAACAGCACACACTTAAAAAATACAGTTTTAACATTTATAAGGCTACTTAAAATCACCAATCTTGGCAAACAAATATGTGGATTCAATTACATCATGTGGCCATCTCATGTTAAGCCCACCACTGTGTCACAGGAGCAAATATCGGTGGGTCCTACACTAACTTTAACATGGGAGATTGACATGCTAAATTAAGTACTTACTGCTGCTTAAACTGTTTCCAAAGTCTCTCCTCAAATGTATACTTTTTCTAAGGTCATTCCCAATAGGAATCTACTTTGAGTTCCAATTCCAAATATACAAAGAAAAAAGGGAATTGGGCACACAGCCACCAAAATATATGCAAAATACAGATGGTGTAACTGAATCCCCATATTTGTTTGCCAATATAGGCGATTTTAGGATTTCTAGTAATAGGTGTAGGTTCCCAGTAGAGCAGTATGGGATGTGAGGTAATAGGCCTTGGTTCCCAGTAGAGCAGTATTGAATGTGAGGTAATAGGCCTTGGTTCCCAGTAGAGCAGTATGGGATATGAGTAAATAGGTGTTGGTTCTCATTAGAGCAATATGGGATGTGAGGTTATAGGCATTGGTTCCCAGTAGGGCAGTATGGGATATGAGTTGGTGTTGGCTCTCAGTAGAACAGTATGAAATGTGAAGTAATGGGCGTTGTTTCCCAGTAGAGCAGTATGGGATGTGAAGTAATAGGCATTGGTTCCCAGTAGAGCAGTATGAGATGTGAGGTAATAGGTGTTGGTCCCAGTAGAGCAGTATGAGATGTGAGGTAATAGGCTATAGTTCTCAGTAGAACAGTATGGGATGTGAGATAATAGGCACTGGTTCCCAGTAGAGCAGTATGGGATATGAGGTAATAGGTGTTGGTTCCCAGTAGAGCAGTATGAGAAGTGAGGTAATAGGTGTTGGTTCCCAGTAGAGCAGTATGGGATGTGAGGTAAAAGGTGCTGGTTCCCAGTAGAGCAGTATGAGATGTGAGGAAATAGGCTATAGTTCTCAGTAGAACAGTATGGGATATGAGATAATAGGCCTTGGTTCCCAGTAGAGCAGTATGGGATGTGAGGTAATAGCTGTTGGTTCCCAGTAGAGCAGTATGGGATGTGAAGTAATAGGCCTTGGTTCCCATGAGAGCAGTATGGGATGTGAGGTAATAGGCTTGGTTCCACGTAGAGCAGTATGGGATGTGAGGTAATAGGTGTTGGTTACCAGTAGAGCAGTATGGGATGTGAGGTAATAGGTGTTGGTTACCAGTAGAGCAGTATGAGATGTTAGGTAATAGGCCTTCGTTCCCAGTAGAGCAGTATGGGATGTGAGGTGATAGGCCTTGCTTCCCAGTAGAGCAGTATGGGATGTGAGGTAATAGGGTTGGTTACCAGTAGAGCAGTATGGGTTATGAGGTAATAGGTGTTGGTTCCCAGTAGAGCAGTATGGGATGTGAGGTAATAGGTGTTGGTTCCCAATAGAGCAGTATGAGATGTGCGGTAATAGGCATTGGTTCTCAGTAAAGCAGTATGGGATGTGAGGTAATAGGACTTGGTTCCCAGTAGAGCAGTATGAGATGTGAGGTAACAGGCCATAGTTCTCAGTAGAACAGTATGGGATGTGAGCTAATAGGCATTGGTTTCCAGTAGAGCTGTATGAGATGTGAGGTAATAGGCATTGGTTCCCTGTATAGCAGTATGAGATGTGAGGTAATAGGCCATAGTTCTCAGTAGAACAGTATGGGATGTGAGCTAATAGGCCTTGGTTCCCAGTAGAGCAGCATGGGATGTGAGGTAATAGGCATTGGTTCCCAGTAGAGCAGTATGGGATATGAGTTAATAGGTGTTGGTTCTCATTAAAAATGTATAGGATTTGCGGTAATAGGTGTTGGTTACTAGTAGAGCAGTATGAGATGTGAGGTAATAGGCCTTGGTTCCCATTAGAGCAGTATGGGATGTGAGGTAATAGGTCGTGGTTCCCAGTAGAGCAGTATGGGATATGAAGTAATAGGTGTTTGTTCTCATTAAAACAGTATAGGATGTGCGGTAATAGGTGTTGGTTACTAGTAGAGCAGTATGAGATGTGAGGTAATAGGCCTTGGTTCCCAGTAGAGCAGTATGGGATGTGAGGTAAAAGGCCTTGGTTCCCAGTAGAGCAGTATGGGATATGAGGTAATAGGCATTGGTTACCAGTGGAGCAGTATGGGATGTGAGGTAATAGGACTTGGTTACCAGTAGAGCAGTATGGGTTGTGAGGTAATAGGCCTTGGTTCTCAGTAGAGCAGTATGGGATGTGAGGTAATAGGCATTGGTTCCCAGTGGAGCAGTATGTGATGTGAGGTAATAGGCATTGTTTCCCAGTAGAGCAGTATGGGATATGAGGAAATAGGCGCTGGTTCCCAGTAGAGCAGTATGGGATATGAGGTAATAGGTGTTGGTTCCCAGTAGAGCAGTATGAGATGTGAGGTAATAGGTGTCGGTTCCCAGTAGAGCAGTATGGGATGTGAGGTAATAGGTGCTGGTTCCCAGTAGAGCAGTATGAGATGTGCGGTAATAGGTGTTGGTTACCAGTAGAGCAGTATGAGATGTGAAGTAATAGGCCTTTGTTCCCAGTAGAGCAGTATGGGATGTGAGGTAATAGGCATTGGTTCCCAGTAGAGCAGTATGGGATGTAAGGTAATAGGTGCTGGTAACCAGTAGAGCAGTATGGGATATGAGGTAATAGGCATTGGTTACCAGTGGAACAGTATGGGATGTGAGGTAATAGGACTTGGTTCCCAGTAGAGCAGTATGGGATGTGCGGTAATAGGTGTTGGTTACTAGTAGAGCAGTATGAGATGTGAGGTAATAGGCCTTGGTTCCCAATAGAGCAGTTTGGGATGTGAGGTAAGAGGCCTTGGTTCCCAGTAGAGCAGTATGGGATGTGAGGTAATAGACATTGGTTCCAAGTAGAGCAGTATAAGATGTGAGGTAATAGGCCTTGGTTCCAAGTAGAGCAGTATGGGATGTGAGATAATAGGTGTTGGTTCTCAGCAGAGCAGTATGGGATGTGAGGTAATAGGCCTTGGTTACCAGTAGAGCAGTATGGGATGTGAGGTAATAGGCATTGGTTCCCAGTAGAGCAGTATGAGATGTGAGGTAATAGGTGTTAGTTCCAAGTAGAGCAGTATGGGATGTGAGGTAATAGGTGTTTGTTCTCAGTAGAGCAGTATGGGATGTGAGGTAATAGGCATTGGTTCCCAGTGGAGCAGTATGGGATGTGAGGTAATAGGCATTGTTTCCCAGTAGAGCAGTATGGGATATGAGGTAATAGGCGCTGGTTCCCAGTAGAGCAGTATGGGATATGAGGTAATAGGCATTGGTTACCAGTGGAGCAGTATGGGATGTGAGGTAATAGGACTTGGTTCCCAGTAGAGCAGTATGGGATGTGAGGTAATAGGCCTTGGTTCCCAGTAGAGCAGTATGGGATGTGAGGTAATAGGCATTGGTTCCCAGTAGAGCAGTATGAGATGTGAGGTAATAGGTGTTGGTTCCAAGTAGAGCAGTATGGGATGTGAGGTAATAGGCATTGGTCCCAGTAGAGCAGTATGAGATGTGAGGTAATAGGTGTTGGTTCCAAGTAGAGCAGTATGGGATGTGAGGTAATAGGTCTTGGTTCTCAGTAGAGCAGTATGGGATGTGAGGTAGTAGGCATTGGTTCCCAGTGGAGCAGTATGGGATGTGAGGTAATAGGCATTGTTTCCCAGTAGAGCAGTATGGGATATGAGGTAATAGGCGCTGGTTCCCAGTAGAGCAGTATGGGATATGAGGTTATAGGTTTTGGTTCCCAGTAGAGCAGTATGAGAAGTGAGGTAATAGGTATCGGTTCCCAGTAGAGCAGTATGGGATGTGAGGTAATAGGTGCTGGTTCCCAGTAGAGCAGTATGAGATGTGAGGTAATAGGCCATAGTTCTCAGTAGAACAGTATAGGATGTGAGATAATAGGCCTTGGTTCCCAGTAGAGCAGTATGGGATGTGAGGTAATAGGCCTTGGTTCCCAGTAGAGCAGTATGGGATGTGAGATAATAGGCGTTGGTTACCAGTAGAGCAGTATGGGATGTGAGGTAATAGACATTGGTTCCCAGTAGAGCAGTATAAGATGTGAGGTAATAGGCCTTGGTTCCAAGTAGAGCAGTATGGGATGTGAGGTAATAGGTGTTGGTTCTCAGTAGAGCAGTATGGGATGTGAGGTAATAGGAATTGGTTCCCAGTGGAGCACTATGGGATGTGAGGTAATAAGCATTGTTTCCCAGTAGAGCAGTATGGGATGTGCGGTAATAGGACTTGGTTCCCAGTAGAGCAGTATGGGATGTAAGGTAATAGGCGTTGCTTACCAGTAGAGCAGTATAAGATGTGAGGTAATAGGCATTGGTCCCAGTAGAGCAGTATGAGATGTGAGGTAATAGGTGTTGGTTCCAAGTAGAGCAGTATGGGATGTGAGGTAATAGGTCTTGGTTCCAAGTAGAGCAGTATGGGATGTGAGGTAATAGGTGTTGGTTCTCAGTAGAGCAGTATGGGATGTGAGGTAATAGGAATTGGTTCCCAGTGGAGCACTATGGGATGTGAGGTAATAAGCATTGTTTCCCAGTAGAGCAGTATGGGATGTGCGGTAATAGGACTTGGTTCCCAGTAGAGCAGTATGGGATGTAAGGTAATAGGCGTTGCTTACCAGTAGAGCAGTATAAGATGTGAGGTAATAGGCCATAGTTCTCAGTGGAGCAGTATGGGATATGAGGAAATAGGCGTTGGTTACCAGTAGAACAGTATGGGATATGAGGTAATAGGTGTTGGTTCTCAGTAGAGCAGTATGGGATGTGAGGTAATAGGAATTGGTTCCCAGTGGAGCACTATGGGATGTGAGGTAATAAGCATTGTTTCCCAGTAGAGCAGTATGGGATGTGTGGTAATAGGACTTGGTTCCCAGTAGAGCAGTATGGGATGTAAGGTAATAGGCGTTGCTTACCAGTAGAGCAGTATAAGATGTGAGGTAATAGGCCATAGTTCTCAGTGGAGCAGTATGGGATATGAGGAAATAGGCGTTGGTTACCAGTAGAACAGTATGGGATATGAGGTAATAGGTGTTGGTTACTAGTAGAGCAGTATGGGATGTGAGGTAACAGACGCTGGTTCCCAGTAGAGCAGTATGAGATGCGCGGTAATAGGTGTTGGTTACCAGTATGAGATGTGAGGTAATAGGCCTTGGTTCACAGTAGAGCAGTATGGGATGTGAGGTAATGGGCCTTGCTTCCCAGTAGAGCAGTATGGGATATGAGGTAATAGGTGTTGGTTGTCATTAACCCATTAAGGACACATGACATGTGTGAGATGTCATGATTCCCTTTTATTGCAGACGTTTGGTCCTTAAGGAGTTAAAACAGTATGGGATGTGCGGTAATAGGTGTTGGTTACTAGTAGAGCAGTATGAGATGTGAGGTAATAGGCCTTGGTTCGCAATAGAGCAGTTTGGGATGTGAGGTAAGAGGCCTTGGTTCCCAGTAGAGCAGTATGGGATATGAGGTATTAGGCATTGGTTACCAGTGGAGCAGTATGGGATGTGAGGTAATAGGACTTGGTTCCCAGTAGAGCAGTATGGGATGTGAGATAATAGGCCTTGGTTCCCAGTAGAGCAATATGGGATGTGAGGTAATAGACCTTGGTTCCCAGTAGAGCAGTATGGGATATGAGGTAATAGGCCTTGGTTACCAGAAGAGCAGCATGGGATGTGAGGTAATAGGCCTTGGTTACCAGAAGAGCAGCATGGGATGTGAGGTAATAGGACTTGTTTCCCAGTAGCGCAGTATGGGATGTGAGGTTATAGGCCTTGGTTCTCAGTAGAGCAGTATGGGATGTGAGGTAATAGGCCTTGGTTCCCAGTAGAGCAGTATGGGGTGTGAGGTAATAGGCCTTGGTTCCCAGTAGAGCAGTATGGGATGTGAGGTAATAGGCCTTGGTTCCCAGTAGAGCAGTATGGGACATGAGGTAATAGGCGTTGGTTACTAGAAGAGCAGTATGGGATGTGAGATAATAGGCGTTGGTTACCAGTAGAGCAGTATGGGATGTGAGGTAATAGACATTGGTTCCAAGTAGAGCAGTATGGGATGTGAGATAATAGGTGTTGGTTCCCAGTGGAGCAGTATGGGATGTGAGGTAATAGGCATTGTTTCCAAGTAGAGCAGTATGGGATGTGCGGTAATAGTACTTGGTTCCCAGTAGAGCTCTATGGGATGTGAGGTACCAGGTGTTGGTTCTTAGTAGAGCAGTATGGGATATGAGGTAAAAGGGGTTGGTTACCAGTAGAGCAATATGGGATGTGAGGTAATAGGCCTTGGTTCCCAATTAAAGGGGTTGGTTTCCAGTAGAGTAGTATGAGATGTGAGGCAATAGGCCATAGTTCTCAGTAGAGCAGTATGGGATGTGAGGTAATAGGCCACAGTTCTCAGTAGAGCAGTATGGGATGTGAGGTAATAGGCCATACTTCTCAGAGGAGCAGTATGGGACGTGAGGTAACAGGCCATAGTTCTCAGTAGAGTAGTAGGGGAACTCTGGGTAATTAGTATAGAATGGTGAGTGCCACCAGCACAGTGTTGTCCTATGTCTATACCCTTGTGATGGCTTGGCACAACTCCATGGTACCTGCTCGGAGTCCTGAGAATTTTTCTGCATGGTGTACCACGATGAAGGCTTCCTAATGAAATGTTGGAGATATGGAAATAACATGAATAGAGTTATATGCATGTGCCAGAGACAGCCAGACTTACAGTAGGATGACAGGGAGGAATCCACACACAAAGTGAGGTTACAGGGTATAGTAAGATAACGTAGAAAGGAGATAATCTCATACCTCCGTGTTGGCAGGTATTTCTGGTTGTTGCTCAGACAAAAGGTTGTAGCTGGCTGTGTGTATTCTCAGAGGACTATCTCCTCTGTCCTGGTGTTAGTTTCATATTAAATATATATATATATAAATGTTATATGGTGTGCGGACACTGAATAATACAACAAAACAGTGTCCAGCTCTTTGTTTTGGCTAGTGGTACTTGTGTGGGTGAGGGGTGCCACCTGTGGTCCATTAAAGCTTTTCATTTCTTTTCTACAGTTAGCGTTAGGCAGTCACTACTTCGCACGACTACCAGAGCATACACTATAGGAGACCATACAGCATATCAAGCAGCATCGAGATCTAGGTTAGATCCACCAATATTGGGGTACCTTGAGATAGCGGTGTGCACAGCACATTATGACAACACGGAGTAACCCACATTTATTTTATTAGGTATGTGTTTTTAGCCTTGAAAGTTTTACAATTGTATCTTGTGAGCACAGAATTCACCATTAAGAAGTGCATGTTCTGGGTACTTAAAGGGACCCAAACACAAAATAAATAAAAATCACTGTTTACTAGATATACCCATAATGAAAAAATGAATGTGTTTAATTATGGCGTGTTCCTTTAAGTTAGTATCACAGACATAAGAATCGTTAAAAAAAAAGGAAACCCCTATCAGACTTGGACTACATTGTCAAAGATACATACAATCGAAATACAGAATTCTAATGTCTTGATGTGGATGCAGATATTTCCGGATATAGTTTTATCTTGGTCACAGAGATTGCGTTACAGCCCAAACAGAACATGAAATCATTCGGCAATTAAATAAAAAAATGGAAGACGCAAGTGGCACTGTGTTCTTTGGATTATATATTATATCGTTATGTCGCTTACTTTCCAGGGACTACGAATTGTCAGGGGATCCAACTCCTTAATTACATGTCACTGTGTTTCTAATTGTTGCCCTCTAAATGTAGAACAAAACAAATCAGAGAGAGCTGCAAATTACTGGACCCCAGAGAATAATGCTCAATAGCTACCCTTCACCCTAGCCCCTCATTACCTATCTAGCTAGTAAAAAATGCATTCATTGACCATTTCAAAGCCAAAGTGGTAATGTGAGCAGTGTCATTTATGTGATTGTCTATATTCATTAAACAATGTTTTGTGGAGTTTATTCTACTGGAATTCAGAGAAAGGGCAAGTGTTCTAATCACAAATAAATAGGGACACACAAAAAACAGACCAGCACCAAAAAACCTCTTATATTAAGGTAGTAGTAAACCAGGGGTAATGTTTTCTTCATGTTTAGGCCCTTACTGTGTACAAAAATGGTACTCCAAACACCATAGGTTCTACAATAGAAGTAGGATCCCCAAATCTGTGTAAGAGGTTTTTGAGCAGTTTTCCACAAACCAAAGGTCCCACAAGTGCCAGTAACCTCGCTTTTCGAACTGTGGAGGAGTATTAGCAAGGGTTATTGCAACAAAAAACATATACATTTTTCTTTTACTATTTTAAAGGAACACTATAGTGTCAGGAATACAAACATATATTCCTGACCCTATAATGTTAAAAATACCATTTAGTCTCCCTAGCCCTATAAATATATCAGCATCTCCTCATAGAGATGTATTGAATGAAAGTTCAGTGTCTCCATGCAGAGGGTGGAGACACTGAATGTCAGTCAAACTGTGCATCACTGCCCCAGGAAGCATCTCTAGTAGCCATCTGAGAAGTGGCCACTGTAGGTGTCCCTGGGCTGTAATGTAAACACTGCGTTTTCTCTGAAAAGATAGTGTTAACTGCAAAAAGCCTGAAGGGAATGATGCTACTCACTAGAACAAATACAATAAGCTGTAGTTGTTCTGGTAACCATAATGTCCCTTTAAATTAAAACACTGTACTTGGTTGTAGTAACGCTTTAAATATTACTGCCTTGTTAGTAACTCATTGTGGCAATCATAAAAATGATCTTATTGTGGGAAGAAAAATGGTTACACCAAATAAAAAGGCTTCTGCACCAAAGCAGGTAGGCATTGCTGACTTTCCCTTTTAGAGATTATTATTATTTTGAAATTATATTGAGTTGCAGTTTTATATACAGTGCCTTAAGATGAACTATTAACCTTCACCCACAAGAGGGCAGAGCTGCAAACGTACAACTACATTACGAAAAGGAACAAAGAGAAATCTGGTTTTGTTATGAAGAAAACAAGTCAGCTCAATTTTCCATGTATGCAAACAGTATGTGCATGTGTGGCAATATGATGATTTACTTTAGTGCAATAACTATGTTCTAAAATAGATGACCATTTCGTGGATGCGTAGCTAGGTGGCAGCCGGGTCAGAAATGTTTGTTGGACCCCCGAAATGTAGAATATTTTTGTGTGTGAATGTGTGTGTGCTGTTTTGTGCCCCCCCAAATCCCCGAAACGTCACAATCAAAAAAGTTAAGTCGTCAACAGTCATCTAGACCATGGCTTTACCAACGGCTGAACAGATCCATCACTCGTAACTGCAACACTTTTTTTTTTTTAATTGTAATCACGACTCCGGTGCCCATACAGGAAGGTCACTCCCAAAGCTCAAGGCAATACAAAACCATAATGTGGACTTCTTTTTTTAAATACAAAATTATGTTTATTATTCCACGTAGGGTACTAAAAACATGCTGCGAAAATCCCCAGCTCAGAGAGTTAGTTAAAAAAAATATATATTATTATTTATTTTTACAAAGACTATGCATTTATTTTTATTTTTTTTTACAATTAAGTTTTATTATTTATTTATTTTTTAAACTGAAAATATTTCAGACCGTAAAATTGCACTGCAATCAAACAATAAATATTCAATCAGATGGTTATCAAATCTGATCGTAAAAACAGCAATGTTACAACGGGTAGAAGATCTCAGGGCAATGCAACAGAACAATGTAAATGATTACAAATCCATTTAGTCAGAAACGTCTCACAGTACACAAATTGGGGTTAGAGAATATTCACTGTGCAAAGCAAGTAAGCAAAAAACCAAATCAAGCAAAAAAGGAAAAATACAAAGAAAGACACTCTAAACAGCCCTTTCCCTAAACAAGGACCCTGGACCCCGCCACATCAATTTGCATCAGGCATTAAGATTGCTTTTACTTTTTGAGGGTCGTTGCAGAAATCCTCCCACACACCCCATTTCCTGCAGTAGAATTTCATGGTTTTCTTCTGCTGAATTGGCAATTCCCCCCACCCCATTTACTATTTTGGTTTAGAATGGTGATTATCTCAGCTAATGTCTCAGCTTACATGAGTGCCAGTTGCACGCCCAGGCCTGGTTTGCAGCTAAAAACACAGGACAACAAAATAGTTGGGCGATTCAGAGTATCGGGGAATACATGCAGCAGGGCAATATATGAACAATATGTGCAATAAAAGTATTAGCAAGAAGGTTAGAGACTGGCTTTCATAACCGTGTTATTTTAGGGAAGCTGTAAGTATGACTGTATGTGAGACCATAATTGCGGTGTCTATCGCGCTGGCACTAGGTGCCATCGTTAACTAATTTTTTACATCCGCTTATTCAAAAGCACAGTGACCTACCTCAAAACAGTATGCACGTGTTATGGTTGATTATACATTTCCTACCTGTTCTATGTTAAATTTTGTATATATTGTGTATTAATATTGTTTTTGTATTTATTGTACCCTATTGTATCAATGCAATGTTTTTGGACCCAGGACATACTTGAAAACGAGATAAATCTCAATGTATCCATCCTGGTAAAATATTTTATAAATAAACAAATAGATGGGAGACATTGCAAGTGAGGCCTCTCAGGTTCTAGTGCGAATGGGTCCACACTTCTTCAGGAAAGGTTTAACTCTTTTCCCATCTTATCTGGTGTGAAAGTGATTTATTTTGGAAGTCTGCAAATTGCAGTAACATTCTGTAATATATTGTTTAGCTTTAATGTGCCCGTGTGTGTTAAAAGCAGTGCGTTTGGAATTTGAGGTGTTTTTTTTTTTGCTATCTACATTGTTTTTTCCCCCCCTCACATCATGGTCATGCACTGTATGTAACACCAAGGTGACTTTTGCAAGAGCAAGACTTTTTATAATCCTACAGGGAATACTAAACAAAATTTGAGATTTAAAAAATGGTTCTTGAGCTATTTTTCACCACCCCCCTCCCCCTCCACACAGATTCATACACACGTTATTTATTTTTACAATGAGGTCCCCCCCAGCCTCCCTTTTCCTACATTTGCTGGGGGAGCTGGAGTGGCCTTGTTGCTGGGATCCAGTAGAAGCTGCAGGTATCACTTGGACTACACAGCTCTCAGTGCGCCCTGCAGCTCTGGCAAGAGGGGGACTGCTCTGTGCACCGCCTTGCCAACTAAGGAAGACTGTCCCCACCACCATAGATACAAACTGTAGAAACATCATAGGATATCCCTTGTCTCTTGTATTTTCACTCATTGAGGTGAAGTGGTCTGGGTGACTACAGTGTCCCTTTAATCTCAATGAAATGATCTGGGTTCATTTCAACCCAAGAATATTTACATTGCAGAGTTAATACCACCTCTAGTGACTGTCTTCCTGACAACCACTAGAGGCACTTCCTCCTCCCGAAACGAGTGAAACTTTGTCCAGGAATCAAATGCTGTGGATAGCAGGATTTGATTGGAGATGCATGCGCACCTCCAATCAATAGTGTCTGTATGGAAAGCAAAGGATAGGAGCAGATCACGGAAGATGTCAGCCAGCATGCAAACGTCTTTAAAGGTGAAGCAAGCTATAGCAGCAGCAGAAGAGTTTTGGGGCTGGAAACAAACAGTTTTAAACTTTTCACTAACAAAATGGGGTGGACAAAAGGGAAACTATAGCCCTAAATAAATATATAAATGTAGATTGTTGTTTTTTTTTGCATTACAGGTTCCCTGTAATGTTGGATCTGCCTATGTATTCCCCTTTAACAGAACTAAAACCACATTAAAAACATATGGGTTTCTGCTATTTTCAAACGGGTCTCTTTGCAACAGTGAGACTCCTCTGAAAATAGTTCCAGCTGAATTGTGCACCATAAGCGATTACAAAAAAGAGGGGTTTGGGAAGATTTACGTTTGATGTACATTTAAAGCCATTGGATAAGTGCATCATCTGACAACCTCAGCAAATTAATGTCTTTAAAGAAACACTGCACTGATTTTTCGTCTTCAATTTAGTAGGTATACCTTTTTAAAAAAAAAAAAAAAAAAGGGTATTTTTAATTTTTAGGGCATGTTTTCTTTGCGGGGTATATATATATATAAATAAAAAACTGCTTGCAAAACCTGCAGACCTACTGCAACGCCTCCTCCACCACCCTTTAAGAAACTTCTGTGCTAGAGTCGCAAGCACATAAATGCATGAGATCATAGGTTTCATATGCTTCTCAGTGAGCTATAGTACAGCCCAATGAGAAGGGGGGAAGGCAGGCACACACTAACCCAACGCACCAGTTACTTCCACTAGCTTTGTGAATACAAATGAAGTGGAAGAAACCCTCCCTTACTGTCTGTCTGACAGCAAGGGTGTCAGTCCTGCCTCCAGTTATAAAAGTGACATTTTGATAAACTGTCACAAATGTGCCTGACTCCAGAATCATTATATACTTTGTAGCAAACTTAGTCCCCTGTTCATTAGGTTACCCGTACCCCTTGTTCGTTCCCCGAACGTAGGCTCCCCTTTTTATACTACCGAACACCGACCACTAACTGGCCCGTTGACTACTACTATGTATAACTGAACACACGTGCTCGAGTGAATGGCAGCCATTTTGTCTCACAAACGCAGGAAGTGGTACCTGGTCATCGAGCGCCTAGAACTAATTTTGGATACAATATCTCACGAACCCCGGGAAAACAGTACCACTGCCTGATCCCCTCACAGACAAGTCCAAAGGTGCTCTTCAGGAGTAAGACACTACTGGCTAGGGGAGAATACGCTCCTTACTAGCCAGAGGGAGCATTTGTTGGTGTTCGCACAGGAACTCCTGAAAGTTAACCTGCCGACACATCTTCCCTCCTGGAACTATTTTGGGCACCAGCCATGTGGGCGGCCAGTCAGAACTTTACCTGAATAGCTATTCTTCTACACTGGATGGATCTGAGCACTAGTTGGACAACTTGAGCTCTTCAGATCCGGGCTATTCAGGGATTTAACATATGTGGGCTTCCTGTACACCTTGACTGTAATTTTGGGGTATTTTGACATTTTTATGTATGGTTCCCTGTAACAGAGATAACTGAGTTACTGGTCTTTGACTCAATTATCTCCCAGACACAAGGACGCCTGAGAGAGGTTTGTGTGGTTTTGTATGGAGACTCAATGCTGAGGTCTGTGCATAAAAGGCAGAGTTTTGTACAATAAAAAAACAGTTATACTCTCATAAATATGTCGTCTAGTTACTGGGAGGGAGAGCTATAATCACTGAACATCGCTTTTTGAGATTTGAGGAGGATTCAGCAGAGATACCTAGTCAGGGTATTGGAGCTCCGCTACACACTTCAGCAAGCTAAAGTGTTTTATTTATCTGGAGTGCTCCTTTAAAAGTATGGATGAAATTTATATTGCTAATGCGGAAAAAGAACTGCCACCAATACAAGCACAGGGTGAGTTATGGGTGCATTGGGAACTCAATTGAGTTAAAGTGCTTGAAAAAGGTTTGACCCACTATAAGGGATCGGCATAGAAACATAGAATGTGATGGCAGATAAGAACCATTCGGCCCATCTAGTCTGCCCAATTTTCTAAATACTTTCATTAGTCCCTAGCCTTATCTTATAGTTAGGATAGCCTTATGCCTATCCCACGCATGCTTAAACTCCTTTACTGTGTTAACATTTTGATAAACTGTCACAAATGTGCCTGACTCCAGAAACATCATATACTTTGTAGCATGTGGGGGTTTCAGTCTGTCGTACTCCCACCTCTGATGCTCGCCTTCAAGACTTCTCAAGGGCTGCACCATTCCTGTGGAACTCACTTCCCTCCTCCGTTAGATGCTCACCCAGTCTCCACTCCTCCAAAAAATCATTAAAAACCCACTTCTTCATAAAAGCATATGAATTTTAAAGCATCCAAGTGATTCATTTCTTGCAACTGTCATTAGTCTAATACTATCCTTACCTTTTGTGTCACTTTACCCCACTCCCTCTAGCATGTAAGCTCATTGAGCAGGGCCCTCAACCCCTCTGTTCCTGTGCGTCCAACTTGTCTGGTTACAACTACATTTGTTCGTCCACCCACTGTAAAGCGCTGCGGAATTTATTGGCACTTTATAAATAATAACATAATAATAATAATAATAATAGCCAAATGTGTGTCTTGTGAATAGCTAAATGGTCTTCACACAGCAAATGTTTGGTTGAAACGGCAGAACATGAACGTCCACTATATGTGGAGACGTCACAGAATAGCGTACCAAAGCTGCTCCCTTTGAGCTAGTGATGCAGAAAAGACCTATCTTTGTTTAGAAAATGATTTTCAAAGATCCAATACAAAAAATGGCCATAAAGCTGATATTTATTACAGCACAGGCAATAATAAATAGTAACACTATAGAGACAGTAAAGCGTTATTGTTACATAAATCAATGAGTACACATTCACAGAATGATTTTAAGTTGGTGCACAGTCTCAGGACAAGACGAACCTGGCGTGTCCAATATAGGTTGCTATTGAAAGCTTTCCCCTGATGCTTGTCTTAAAAGGATACTCTACATGCCATAACTGCTCAGACGTACTAAAGTTGATTCACCCTGTGGCGGAACTTACCACCAATTTCATGTTTTTTCCCCTCATTTTGGCTGTTTTACCCTTTTCTGTTCAGGAGTACTGCATACAAACGATATCCATTCGTCTCCCAAACAAGGACCACCCCTGTACTCCATTAGAACGTTCACAACAGCAACTTAAGTTCGAAATCGCAAGGGAAGTAATTAATGAATGCTGCCCCTGGGTGGCCCGCCATTTCAATAACCAAACGCACGTGGTCGACAAAAGAATGGCAGCCATCTTTTCTCCTGAACGTGGGCAGCGGTACTTGGTCGTCCAGTGCCTGGAACGCTTTTTGGCGAGACACTCGCATGAACAGCCGTAAAGATTACAACGCTGTATGTTCCATTTCCCGACCACCTATACGAACGACGTTCGGGAGATATGAACTACCGAACAGGGGGAGCATTTGTATGCTGAAACACACAGGAACCGCCGAACAGAGATCGACCAGGACACCTACTTCCCTGGAACTGTTTTGGACTACCGCCTTGTGTCCAGCCAGTCAAAACTTTACCTTTCACCGAACCGATCTGATAGGATTGGATAGGTTATACAGTCAGATCGGGCTATCCGGGGATGTACTTTTTGTGGGGTTCCTGAGTATGGTGGGGGGCACTTTTGGGGTACTGTATATTTTGTATGGATTTTCTGTACCTCAGAGATAATTGGATTATAGACTATTCTCACGCAATTATCTCTCAGGCACAGAGGATCCTGGGATTGAAAACCCTGTATTTGTGTGTTGGAGACCACATGTAGGGGTCTAGGCATAAAAGCCGAGTGGCCTGAATAAAATCAGTTGACTCCCAGAACTATGTTTCGTCTGGTTACCGGGGGAATGGATGTCTGCAGGTTTTAATGGTTCCAGAGTAGCTGAGTGAAGGCATTAGCGGAGGTAACCGGTCGGGTTACCTGTGATCCGCTACACACCCTAACTCAGTGCTATACCCAGCTCTATACTTAGCCTCACTCAGTGCTACATCCAGCCTCATTCACACTCATTCAGTGCTATAACCACCCTGACTCAGTCCTGTACCTAACCTTATTTACCCTCACTCAATGCTATAACCAGCATCATTCACACTCAGTGCTATACCTGGCCTCACTCAGGGCTACACCCGGCCTCATTCACATTCACTCAGGGCTATACCTAGCCTCATTCACACTTGCTGAATGCTATACCTAGCCTCATTCACACTCGCTCAATGCTATACCAAGCCTCATTCACACTCGCTCAATGCTATACCTAAGCCTCATTTACACTCGCTCAATGCTATACCTAGCCTCATTTACACTCGCTCAATGCTATACCTAGCCTCATTTACACTCGCTCAATGCTATACCTAGCCTCATTCACACTACGCTCAATGCATGCTACCCTAGCCTCATTTACACTCGCTCAATGCTATACCTAGCCTCATTTACACTCGCTCAATGCTATACCTAGCCTCATTTACACTCGCTCAATGCTATACCTAGCCTCATTTACACTCGCTCAATGCTATACCTAGCCTCATTTACACTCGCTCAATGCTATACCTAGCCTCATTTACACTCGCTCAATGCTATACCTAGCCTCATTCACACTCGCTCAATGCTATACCTAGCCTCACTCACACTCGCTCAATGCTGTAGCCAGTCTCATTCACACTCAGTGCTACACCTAGCCTCACTCACACTCAGTGCTACACCTAGCCTCACTCACACTCAGTGCTACACCTAGCCTCACTCACACTCAGTGCTACACCTAGCCTCATTCACACTCAGTGCTACACCTAGCCTCATTCACACTCAGTGCTATACCTAGCCTCACTCACACTCGCTCAATGCTATACCTACCCTCATTCACACTCGCTCAATGCTATACCTAGCCTCATTCACACTCACTCAATGCTGTAGCCAGTCTCATTCACACTCAGTGCTATACCTAGCCTCATTCACACTCAGTGCTACACCTAGCCTCACTCACACTCAGTGCTATACCTAGCCTCACTCACACTCGCTCAATGCTACACCTAGCCTCACTCACACTGGCTCAATGCTACACCTAGCCTCACTCACACTCGGTGCTATACCTAGCCTCACTCACACTCGCTCAATGCTACACCTAGCCTCACTCACACTGGCTCAATGCTACACCTAGCCTCACTCACACTCAGTGCTACACCTAGCCTCACTCACACTCAGTGCTACACCCAGCCTCACTCACACTCAGTGCTACACCCAGCCTCACTCACACTCAGTGCTACACCCAGCCTCACTCACACTCAGTGCTACACCCAGCCTCACTCACACTCAGTGCTACACCCAGCCTCACTTGTCCTCAAGTAGTTGTGGTCCTGGCACTGTTTGTCTCCCGGCATGCCGCGCGGTGGCTGCAGTGGTTGTGGTGGTGTCGGCCGGTCTCCCGGCATGCCGCGCGGTGGCTGCAGTGGTTGTGGTGGTGTCGGCCGGTCTCCCGGCATGCCGCGCGGTGGTTGTGGTGTTAGTCAGTCGGTCTCCCGGCATGCCGCGCGGTGGTTGTGGTGTTAGTCAGTCCGTCTCCCGGCATGCCGCGCGGTGGTTGTGGTGTTAGTCAGTCGGTCTCCCGGCATGCCGCGCGGTGGTTGTGGTGTTAGTCAGTCCGTCTCCCGGCATGCCGCGCGGTGGTTGTGGTGTTAGTCAGTCGGTCTCCCGGCATGCCGCGCGGTGGTTGTGGTGTTAGTCAGTCCGTCTCCCGGCATGCCGCGCGGTGTTTGTTTGTCTCCCAGCATGCCGCGCGGCTCCCCCCTCCCGGAAGTGCTCGGCTCTCAGTGCAGGCATTTCCGCTGAGGTCACCGGCCGGACTCCATTAGTGCTGCGGCTGAGGGCAGCTCCTGTGACAGCCCCGAGCGGCGGATCCCCCTCCCTCCTCCCCGCTCCCCTCACCTCCTCCCGGGAGGGGGACACTCAGCTCGGCCCCCCCGGACACCAACCACGGCCGCTCCCCGTGACAGAACTCTGGCCTCCGCTTCCTCCTCCTCCGACTCGGACACCGCATCACCTCCCCCGCGGAAGAAACCCCGAGCCTCGGCGGCGGAGGAGGCAGGAGAGCCCGGGGCTTCGGCGGCCATCGCAGGCCAGGCGGCGCGGGGCGGCATGCAGGCTAACGGGGCAGTGGGTGCGGGGGCTGCGGACCCGGCGTCGGCGGCAGGGAGCGGCTCCCCCTCCTGTCTGACGGCTCACAACGGGGAGACCTCGGCCGGGGACATCGCTCACTCCAACGGCCTCAACAGCAGCAACGGGCTCCCGGGGGCCTCCTCCGCCGAGCAGCCCGGCCTCAGGAAGAAGAAACGGCTGAGCCAGGCCGAGGAGGACGTGATCCGCCTCATAGGACAGCACCTCACCGGCCTGGGCCTCGAGTGAGTGTCTGCCTGCCTGCCTGGGGGGGGGAGGGAGAGAGTGAGGGTCCGGAGGCTCACTGAGTGTCTGCCTGTCTGGGGGGGAGGAGTGAGTGTCCGGGGACCCCCTGAGTGTCTGCCTGGGAGGGGGAGGAGTGAGTGTCCGGGGACCCCTGAGTGTCTGCCTGGGAGGGGGGAGGGGAGGAGTGAGGGTCCGGGGAACCCCTGGGAGTGTCTGGCCTGTCTGGGAGGGAGTGAGTGTCCGGGGACCCCTGAGTGTCTGCTGGGAGGGGGAGGGAGTGAGTGTCCGGGACCCCCTGGAGTGTCTTCGTCTGGGGCAAAGAGAGTGTCCGGGGACCCCCGAGTGTCTGCCGCCTGGGAGGGGGGGGGGAGGAGTGAGTGTCCGGGGACCCCCTGAGTGTCTTTCTGGGGAGTGTGTGTCCGGGGGCTCACTGAGTGTCTGTCTGAGGAGTGAGTGTCCGGGGACCCCCTGAGTGTCTGCCTGAGGAGTGAGTGTCTGTCCGGGGAGTGAGTGAGTGAGTGTCTGCCGAGTGAGTGTCCGGGGCTCACTAAGTGTCTGTCTGGGGAGTGAGTTACCGTAAGCAAGGACTTCAGACTTGAACGAGTCCCCGTGTAGACAGGCCACTCATTGGATGTTGAGTGAGTGGACTAAAACGGCCTGAATCTCGAGTGTGTGTCCATACATATATAAAGGCCTGAGCCTCGAATGACGGTGTAAACAAGGGCCTGGACCAAGTCCCTGACTGTTTACTGGCAATGAGTGACTGTAAACAAGGGCCTGAAGTGTAGTGTACAGGGGGTGAGTGGATGCCTGAGTGTTTTGGGTTATGCTTGAGTTTGCCAGGCTCCATGGGAGTGAGAGTCTACTATTGAGCCTGACATATGATTCTGTATTCAGTCTCTCTGTGTGCAGGACAAGACTGTCAGTGTATCATCTGGGACCTCATCTGTTAATATAGTACTATCTATTCCGCTGCTTATTGTGAGGAGAAAATTGAGTAATAAAAGTGTATTCATTAAAGTGTTTGATTCCCTAAATATTGAGTTGAAAATGTAATCCAACATTGCAGGTCTACCCAGGGCTATCTATCAATTACAATGCCTTGGGCTCAAGTTAGTGTCTGGACTCCGGGTATTAATCTCAAAATGTCTCTATACAAAGACTATGCTTTTCACTGTTTGTATGTAATCGATACACAAACACTCACAGAAATAGTGAACTATATGCATAAAGAGAGGGACAGGTAGGGCCTCAATTGAGTTTGTGTAAATAATACCTGTGTCACTACTAACTTCAAATACTTTGCCTGGACCTCTAGTGAGTATGCATGGCCTGAGACAGAACACCTATTCTGTATAGAAACCTGTAACTGCATAATGTACAAAACAACTGTAGTTGTATAGAGAGTATGAGACTTCCAGAACCCATCTATTCACAGCACAATACGTGCAAGCCCTCTGTGAATGTGAAGAAACCTCTTTACTGCGAGGTACGGCTCTGAATTCAGTGTCCATAATTACAAAGAGAATCCCTATATGGTGAATTCACTATTTAAATCCAGAATGTTGTATCAAAACCAATGAAGCTCAAGGGAGTTTGTGTTGAGATGCTAGGGAATTGTGAGCATCTGCATGTACATAAGGAGGTCTGTTTGACATCAAAATAAATATATATATATCTCAAGGCCTGGGCTTGAATTTTGCACCTGCATATAACGTTTGCATCCACTACAGGGGTATAGTGATTTATGGCCTGGTTTCCATGTTTAAGTATAAGAGCTGATCATCTTTCTGCGATTGTCTCATTACATATTTGAGCATAGTCCTATACCTTATTTTGTGAAGATACCTGCTATATTGGTTGATATTTTACAAATATAAGTTTATTTTAGTTGTGTGTGTTTGAAGGATCAATAAAACTCACTGTGTGTGTGTATGTATATCAAGATCTGTTTATGGTATGCAAGGAGACAGATGTTGATGGATGACTTAAAACCCCTGTCTATTTACAACAAGGCTCACATCAAGTCATTCTTATCTGAACGAATAACACACATAATTGTATATGTTCTTCTGCTTGGTCCTTTATATTTCTCTGTACAGGTACTTAGAACTGTTTGGTTATCTGCGCTCTAGTTGGAGTAATATTGACATAAAAATATTGTGTGGTTTTATTTTGGATGTGATTATGCTAATCTCAGTAATTATAAGGTGGATGAATGTTCTGGGCCTGTACAGACTAACACCTTAACAACCAGGGTTTAGGCAAATCTATTTGTATCATGATTAGCCTGGCATGTCACTGCTGCTTAAGGGTTAATGTGTAGTCTGAAATGTGTGTTTAAACAGATGGTCTTTCACTTGCTCAGGCATGCAGTATATGTCATCCCTCAAATGCAGAGCTCTAGATAGAATGGACCAGGCCTTGTTTTACCTGTCCTACAAATCATGTGATCACTTGCAGTATTTGTATTTTGGAAATTGTGCATTGGTGTTGGTCTTGAGTCAGCCAATTATGAACACAATTGATTGTTTATGGAGGGGATTGTTTTCTGTCTCTGTGTGTATACATTGTAACAGACTGGAATGTGCTAGTAGCTGCTAATGCATGGGAATTATTTTGAGCGGCACACCTTATGTTCTTGTTGTTCCATATATTAATTTTGAAGGGTGTTCGCTTTGCCTGTTTAGCAGATTTTGGGATTTATATTGTCACAGTATTTCTAAATTAATTTCATGTCCATCTCAAAACACTTGTATGGCTGTTGCTATGAAGTCTGCAAATGTAACCATCTTCTTGTAAAGATAGCTTTTCATTTGGGCATGTCCCTGTGTATTGCAATGTTTTCATTTTGCTTCGAGCATCGAAGAGGTTAATGAATGCCTGCCCCCTAAAGGTTGTTAAGGGAGGGTGATGTTTACATCTAGTAGTGGGTCTAGGAAGAGGAGGCCTTACACAGTCCTGGTGACACTGTAGAGGAGGAGGGTTGCTTAGTGCTGTATGTTGGGGGAGGTGCAGGATTAGAGGAATCCGTGGACTCTGGGGGTCTTACTGCCATCTGAGGGAATAAATATGTCTGTTGATCCTTTTATTACATAATTAGTCTCTTCACTGCAGCGTTTTACAAAGTAATGCCAGTCTTGCTCAATATGAGAATGATACGTGTACACAATGGGCTGTATCTTTAGTTAACCAGTTAGTGAATATGATTGAAGATGTCTTGTCTTCAACTTCATAACAACCTCTCATTTCTTTTTACTAAAATCTATTGTGCTGTCTGTTCAATGTAGAGTACATTCAGCATGGAACACTTTATAGCTACTAGGCTGTAAAATCATCTGGTTTTAAACACTCTTATAATAATGATGACGTGCCAACTGATGTCAGGATTTAGATTATATTTGCGATCAGAACACCACATCACCCAGTTTGTTAGGTGTCATGGTTGTGTGCATGTCAGATCAGGGGAACTCGCCACCAAATATCAGGGGTTTTGTGCGTATAATCAGGGACCCCCCCATGCCTGATTTCAGTGGTGGCGTGTTTTTCACCACCCAATATCAGGGATTGTGAGAGATTTGGGAAACTCGACACCTCATGTCAGGGTGTGTGGATATTTACGTGTAAAATCCTCACAACCCCTTAGGGTTTGTGTGTGAAAACAGGGAAACCCAACACCCATTGTAGGGATAGTCTGTGTGAGATTATGTAAACTTGCCAACTAATGCCATTTTGTGCCTGGTTAGGAAAACTCGCTGCTATGCCAAGGAAGTGTGTATCATACATGCTTAGGCAAGAAATATATATATATATATATATATATATATATATATATATATAACTCCATCAGTACCAGTATACCAAGGTATTTGCCTAACCATGATATTGAAGAAGTTAGAGTACTTGATTACACTCAGGAGTGAAATGAATAGGTCATGGTAAGATGTCTAGGTTTTTGACACTATCTCTCTCTTACAGCCAGACAGTTGATCTCCTCATGCAAGAATCAGGATGTCGTTTAGAGCATCCTTCTGCTACCAAATTCCGTAATCATGTCATGGAAGGGGAGTGGGATAAGGTAATTCTGGCACTGCAATAACCCTTTAATGTGAGATCTTGGGGGAGGATCTATTGCTACTTTTGCAGGTTCTGTTATTGCATTGATTCATTTTGTTCGTTAAAAATGAATATGATTTAAGCCAACTTTGGAACCTCAATTATATAACTTGTTTTTATATTTGTGTGTTTGGTTTTTTTGAAGGCTGAGAACGACCTAAACGAACTGAAGTCCTTGGTTCACTCTCCTCATGCTATTATGGTAAGATGTTTCTGAACACAGCTAACAGTTCTCTATTGCCCATTTCTTTCTCCAAGATTCTTTAGGTTGGTTTTGTATTAAAAAAAATAGAAATACAATAAAATGCAAGAGATATGTGTTACAAAGTAATTGAAAGGTACGTTGAACAACGGTTTACACAGAAAGTCAGCAGAGCTTTTTATGCCCATAGAATTACATTGTCACAAATCATTTATAGTTTCTGTGGATTGGAGTCTCCCATTGGGTCAAATAGTTTCAGATTTTTGGCTTTAAGGAGTGGCTATAAGATCCCGTTATTGCAGTTCTGCATCTATGTAACGGTGAACGTCAAAATCTGATACACCATATTCGTATAGTTCAATTTAGGTAAAGAAAGTTCAAGGTTGTGGTGCTGGATCAGGCAGATGTATGTGAAGTCAATAGAGGGATATGTTAATGAAAATGCAGAAGGATCTGTAGAGAACTCTCCCTCCCGCCCCCCGTGTGATTCTTTACTAACCAAAGTTCCTCCCCTCCTTAGACAGAATTATGCATATCGTAGAAAAAAAGTTAATTGCAATCTTGTAATAGGAATTCTGCTACCAAGGAAAAGATGTCTCTGGTCAGCCAAGGGTCCAGGTTTTATGAAATGGATTTTTTTAAAAAAATTTTTCTGATTGCAGTTAGTGAAGGAATCTCTTGTGTGGCCCTAAGTTCCCCTATTGCCCTATGGGTAGTTACCACTATCATTGCTGCGAGCTTAGTTTCAACCCTATTAAATGTATCAATTGATTTGAATTCTGTTCTGCTTCATGCCCCTGTTTATTTGTAGCCAACTACACAGCTTTACAACGAAAGGCATTCTGTAAGTTAGACCCCACACAGAGATGTGTAACATTTGCATTGATACCTTGGCTGTGTTAATACCTTCAGATTGCCTGTTAAGTCTCATTCTTTTTATTTTTGTTGTATTAATTTGTGAAACTATACATGAACATGTTGGCCCCAACTCTTCATTGCTTGAGATCCATTTACATTGCGCTGGAGTTTGCATTTGAGATTAAAAAAAACAGTTATAGCAAACAAATGGGTGCCGTTGTTCATCTCCTATGATGCCTGGTCAGCCTGTGTTTCACCCCTATTGCATATTGACAACCCATAACTGAAAGTATGATCAATGCCATCTTAACAGTTCTCCAATTCCTTTTTGTCATATAAAGTTCTATTGTTAATATTACCATTTGTATAGCGCCAACAGATTCCATAGCACTTAACAATATTATAAGAGGGGAAATTTCACTATAAATAGGACAATTACAAGAAAACTTACAGGAATGATAGGTTGAAGGGGACCCTGCTCAAATGAGCTTAGTCTATAGAAGGTTGGGTGTAAAACACACTAGGACAGGAAAGAGCAATCAAATAAGGTGGGAGTGAATCAGAGCTGGAGGAGAAAGTAGAGTGCTGCCCTTTAGGAGAGGGAAAGAGACAGGTATGTGTGGTAGAGGTTACTCTGGGAGGCCATAAGCTATCCTGAAGAGATGGGTTTTAAGGCACTTCTTAAACAATTGAAGACTAGGGGAGAGTCTGATGGCAGTAGGCAGGCTATTCCATGAGAAGGGAGCCACCTGCGAGAAGTCCTGCGAGCAGTGGACGTGAGAAGGTTACGGGCAGAATGGAGAGACCGAGAAGGGGCATACCTATGGATCTGTGAAGAGATGTGGGACTAGAATTGGTCATGGTTTTATTGGTATGGGTTAGCGCTTTGAACTGACTCCTATAGGATACAGGAAGCCAATGTAAGGACTATGAGAGGACCGACTAGAGAAGAAAATCAGTCTGGCGGGAGCATTCATTACAGACTGGAGCGGGACAATGCGGTTTTTGGGAAGACCAATTAGGAGAGGGTTACAATAATCCATGCAGGAAATTACTAGAGCATGGACAAGCTCCTTTGTAGCATCTTGCATAAAAAAGGGGTGGATAAGGGCTATGTTTTTAAGATGGAATCTACCGGACTCGATAACATGCTGGATGTCAGGCTCAAAGGTAAGGCCAGAATAAAGTATGACACCAAGACTGTGCGCTTGCAAGGATGGACTAATGTGGTTACCACTAACTTGAAAAGAGCGTGAAAGAGGAGGATCAGTATTAGGAGGAGGAAAGACAAGGAGCTCAGTTTTAGAGAGAGTGAGTTTCAGAAAGCGGGAGGACATTCAGTCAGAGGTGGAAGAAAGACAAGCAGTGACACGTTGCAGGACGGCAGGGGAGAGGTCCGGGGAGAAGAGATATATCTGTGTGTCATCAGCATACGGGTGGTAGTGGAATCCAAAAGAAGTAATGAGTATGGCAAGAGAGGCAGAAAATAGAAGTGGACCAAGGACCGAGCCTTGGGGGACTCCAACCCCACAATCCATGGCATCTGCTGTTGGCTCAGATTTTGCAGACATTATCCACCCATCATTGGGCAGCAGTTATGGTGGATTAGCACAAATCCAGAAGGATAATGTCAAAGTTCACTTTTCCATTATCTGAAGGGCTGGAATGTCTGTGTTTTATCTCTCCACCAATAACCCTTACATAAAGATTTCTGCCCAGTGACCTTTAATCTCTATTAGTTTGTATCTGGGAATGGCCTTTTTGCTTTCAGAGTCTGCAATTACAAGGCTATTCATTTAAGTGAGTTATCAGGAATTTAAAATTTCACATCAATATAGCTGAATTGGAAACATTCTGCAAGTCGGCTATGCTTCCTGTTTGCCTTTTTTCGTCTAAAATGTAGAATTAAATGAATTACCTTTTGGGTTTTTTTTTTTATTGGATGTTTAGTGGCCAAGTCCTTCTGGATCATCCCTGTAGTCAAAGCATGTCAAACTCGGACCAGAAGGACCATCTTTTCGAGCTCCGTGTACATGCTGGTGTTACAGCAGGGTAGGCACCTGCTTTCCCCACATTGCAGGTGCCTACTCTAACACTTACACGGCCGGGGAGGAGGGCCAGCGAGGGAGCTCAGTGTTCCAGCTCCTCACTGCTCCCTCGCGCATGCCGTCTGTAGTGAAGCCGGGCGCCGGAATATGGCATCATATTCCAGCACCCATCATCCCTAAACCACGCAAGTGAGGAGTGGATAGAAGGACCCCAAGGAGATGCCCCACATCAGCTCCAAAAGGTAGGGAGCAATAAAGTAAAGTGTGTGTGTGTGTGTGTGTGTGTGTCAGTGTTGCATTGGCTGTAACTGGACAGCGGAGTACATGGAGGCATGCAACACCACGTCACATTCCGACATGACATCAATGTGCTCCACCTTCACAGGGTTTCAGGGTGGATCAGATTTGGCACAGGGTGCGGACGCCGCCATTTGGGGTACACCAGAGGCCAGACTCCGGAATCGCATACCGTCAGCGGCAATGGGAGTGGAGTCTGCTTGTTGGCTAGAGGGGGTGCTGGGATTTAGTATATGGGGGGGATGACTGGGATTTAGTGTATATATATGTGGGATTTAGTGTATATATGTGGGGTGGGGACTGGGATTTAGTGTATATATATGGGGGTGGGGACTGGGATTTAGTGTATATATGGGGGTGGGGACTGGGATTTAGTGTGTATATGGGGGGTGGGGACTGGGATTTAGTGTGTGTATATATGGGGGGGGGACTGGGATTTAGTGTGTATATATGGGGACTGGGATTTAGTGTGTATATATGGGGGTGGGGACTGGGATTTGGTGTGTATATATGGGGGTGGGGACTGGGATTTAGTGTGTGTATATATGGGGGTGGGGACTGGGATTTAGTGTGTATATATGGGGGTGGGGGACTGGGATTTAGTGTGTATATATGGGGGTGGGGACTGGGATTTAGTGTGTATATGTGTATATGGTGGGGGGTGGGGGACTGGGATTTAGTGTGTATATATGGGGGGGGGGGGACTGGGATTTGGTGTGTATATATGGGGGTGGGGACTGGGATTTAGTGTGTATATGGGGGTGGGGACTGGGATGGTGTGTATATATGGGGGGGGGGACTGGGATTTAGTGTGTATATATGGGGGAGGGGACTGGGATTTGGGATGTGTATATATGGGGGCGGGGACTGGGATTTAGTGTATATATGGGGGGACGGGACCGATGGACCCCGGGGGATATATGGGGGACTGGGATTTAGTGTATATATGGGGACTGGGATTTAGTGTATATATGGGGGGGGACTGGGATTTAGTGTATATATGGGGGGGGGGACTGGGATTTAGTGTATATATATATGGGGACGGGGACTGGGATTTGGAGTGTATATATGGGGGACGGGGGCTGGGATTTAGGGGTGTATATATGGGGGGACGGGGGCTGGGATTTAGTGTATATATGGGGACGGGGGCTGGGATTTAGGCATGGGGGCAGAGGCACAGGATTTAGTGTATATATGGGGGACGGGGGCTGGGATTTAGTGAGGCGGGGGCTGGGATTTAGTGTATATATGGGGGGCCGGGGGCTGGGATTTAGTGTATATATGGGGGGGGGGACTGGGATTTAGTGTATATATGGGGGTGGGGGACTGGGATTTGGTGTATATATATGGGGGTGGGGACTGGGATTTGAGTGTATATATGGGGGTGGGGACTGGGATTTATATATGGGGGGTGGGGACTGGGATTTAGTGTATATGGGGGTGGGGACTGGGATTTAGCGTATATATGGGGGTGGGGACGGTTTATATAGGGGGACTGGGATTTAGTGTGTATATATGTGATGGGGGACTGGGATTTAGTATGGGGGGGGAGGACTGGGATTTAGTATGGGGGCTGGAGGACTGGGATTTAGTAGAGGGGGATGCTGAGGGGTTTTTAATACTGTAGTTTTCAAAATAAACCTAAGTTTCTATGACAATGTAAGGGTTTTTTTGTGGGGGTGCTTTGCGGTCCACATTACCTTAAACCTTGTTTATGTGGCCCGTGCTAGATGAGTTTGACATGCTGATTGTTCCTTAGTCATTTGTTCCTGGGCATTGTCAGTGTCTGTTGCGGTCTCTCATGTCTGTGATTATCTGACATATTACTTTTTCTTGGGCAATGTGCACTAGTCCCTGTAGTACTTGTTTTAGTCCCTGAAATGGAATTGCTGGCTAAGAATTCGGTTTAGTCACAAAAGCTTAAAACTACTAGATTTTATTTATTTTTATGGCTAGTCAATGGGTTGTCAACCTGGTCCCTAGGATCCTCAGTTTGAGAGAGTGGGTGGCAGGGCCGGACTAGCCCAGTTGGGGCTGGAGTGACAGCCCTAATGATCATTCTGATAAATCCTCCCCTCGGACTGTGCCAGCCTGTCAGTCCAAGGGGAGGAAGGAGGGAGGAGCTTGGGGGCTGGTGTGGCTGCCAGCAGCTGCAGGGAGACCAATCAGTCTCCCTGCACAGTCTCAAATCATTTCAGCCGCATGCCCAGCCCCCAAACGGATGCTCCGCCTCCCGCCCACAAGCTCCGCCCCCACGCACGTTACTGGGAAGCTGCCCACCGGACCAAGAGGACACTGAAAGGTATTTACCTTTTTACAGCCCCCTACCTACCATTGATGCCCCCCACCTCACAGACAGTCCCTCTACCCGCTATAGAGGCCCCCCTACCCACCTCAGAGCCCCACTATACATCAGCCTTACTTTTGCACATTCCCTTTAGGAAGGTAAAAGAAAAGCATAAAAAAAGAGATAAAAAGGAAAAGATCAAAAAAATTAAAAAGGGAAGAAAAATAGAAAAAATGGGATAAAATAAAGGAGGACCGTACTTGTAAAAAAGGAGAAAGAAGGAGCAGAGTACTTGTAGCATTGGAGAAAGAAGCAAAAGAAAAAGGAGAAAATTGTTGTTGGCGAATAATAAGTGGGCTACCTAGCTCAGCCTTCCTGCTGGGCATTGCTGTAACGAAGGTTAAAAAAAAAAAAATAGGAAAAAAAAGTGGGGAGAGGAATTGAGGAGGGGAGCTGAAGCACGGATGAGAAATCATATTATGAGCAAACAGAGAAATTGTCTGCAAATTACCGAAAGAGGAGACCTTTGTTTGTTCCTTACGAAAATCGAACCAGATATCAAATATTTAGTCTCAAATATCTCATTAATCACTAGTAAAGGTAATTTCAATTTACTTTGTTTTCTCATTAAACTTTATAAAGTTAAAAACATGCATTAAGTAGAAATAAAGATAAATGTTTTTGTTTTTTTTAAAACACCCTCCTTTCGAAAAAATATTCTGCACTTGCGCGAATACTGGTGGGCGGTAAGGAAAAGGGTTGACTACCCCTGGGCTAGTCAGTCGTTTTTAGTTATGTGTGTTTCCACAAAAGGTGTTAAAAAAATCATGATTCAGATAGGCTTGTGAAATGTTTACAGCCTCCTTATTTCTGCTGCCGCTGTCTGCCAGTGCCAGACAGTCTTCCAAATGATAAGATGAGTTTAATTTGCCTCCACCGTGTTCATCTTGAAATTGCAGCGTGTAGTAGCAGCTGCTGGCTGCAGAGTGGGACCAAACCTCCTGTCTCTGACAGCAAGAATTCAATATAGCTATGTTTAATAAGCCGATCGGCTGATTAGCAATGCAAATATCTCACAGGTAAAGCTGTTAATGCCAAAATTGTTTTCATATTGTGATTGTTACAGCAATGCCTTGGGGGCTGTAACTGAAGCCAGAATTTTGATGTGTCCTCAGTCCATAAATCTGTTTGCATGCCTGTGTCTTGCGCACAGATTCTGTAGTTTTTCTGGACATTAAGTCCAGGGCTCACAATTTCTGCTTGCCATTAGCTAGTGAGAAGTGAAAATTTAGCCCTGGCGAAAAGAAATTCCATTTGCCATGGTCCCTCCATGTTTGTAGTGGCCAGTAACCTTTATGGTCTGGCTTGTAGCCTAGGACATGGAATTTTAAGCCCTGTTAAGTTCCTATTGCGCTGCAATATTTTCACATTCACATGTCTCTGCTTCACCATAATTGACAAGGCAGGTGGCGGCTTACTACTGGATTGCAGATGCACCCTGCTCGTTACAAAAAGGCAGCACCAGGTTTAAAGTGAAATTATCCTGCCGTCCATTAAATAAAATGGGATTTATTCACCACACTGGCATGTATTTTGAGTGGACAAGTGAATATCAAATTATAGGGCAAAAGAGCAGACTTTGTGTTGTGCGTTTTTTGTTTCCATCCCTAGAGTTTTGGTATACTAGTACCTTGTGTAAACAGTGGAACTGCAAAGGCGCTGCTACAAGTAATACTGGTTGTGATTCCTAGAGTCACTTTTAACATTAGTACATTGCTATTACAGATTCAAGTTTGCCACATTTTTTGTTTTGTGTGATTTTGTTTTTCCATGGGATGTTAACCATTTAAGGACAGCGGCAACTGTCCGCATTCTGTTTTAGATGAAAACAAAAACTTGATTTTTAGCTATAGGTTCGTTCCACCATAATGTAAGGGTTTGTTAAAGTGCTAGCATGCAATTTTACTTCTCAAATTTTTGCTTATAATTTTTACACATCCAGTGAAAATAATTTAAAAGAGCTCAAAACAGATTAATGTATATTTTCTGATGGTTAAATGCCTTATGTTTATGATCTAAATTTTTGGTAACACTACACCAACCTGCACACTGTTATACCAACCTTACCTGATGCTTAAACGATTTATAACCATATGCCTGCCCTAATCTTACCCTTAACTTCAACCCTACACATTACACTAACCCTGCTCCAACACTACATGTAACCCCAGGGTAAACCACTGCTAACATAAATTCTGATATTCGACATGGATTTTACGTTAGCACAGTAGATGGTGGTATGTTGTTTTTAGAATTCTACTTGGAGTAATTCTGAATAGAACCCATGGTTCTAATCAATTATATAGAGATTGGTACTGTAAAAGCTCAGCACCAATCCTAATCAGCTGGATACAGGCTGGGAGGCTGCAGTTTTTATGAATTAAAGGGCTCTGCGGAGTAAAGCTGACTTCCAGCACTGCAGAGAGCTTATCGGTCAGTCGAGGGCCCCAACTGACTTACAGAACCTCAGTAGTCCTGCTCACAAGACAGGGCCTGACAAATTTGCTAGAAATTTAGAAGCCAGCTAAAAAAGTTAGGAGTCAGATTTTTCAACATCAAAAATACAATTCTTAAATGGACCTTATAGTCACCAGAACCACTACAGCTTAATGTAGTTGTTCTGAAGTCTATATACTGTCCCTGTCACTCAGCCTCTAGAAGTGCTTCCCGGGTCAGTGCGGGTCACACTTACATTAATGTTCCCCATAGGGATGCATTGATTCATTGCATCTCTGAGAAGTTGATTGCGCAGCATGGCATTTTGCCGCACATGCGCAATAGTCTCCCAATGTTTGTTTTTCTATGGGAAAGCATTGGATTGCCTGAGATCAAGATTGATTAACTCTACCATGGAGGTGGGGGTCAGCCGTGGCATCAACAGCATGGTGTGAGATAAAAGTGCGTTAAAACACCTTTCCCATGTGAAATTTTTTTTTTTTTTTTTTTGTGGGGGCAAGTCACCTAAACATTACACACTCCCTGACAAGCACACAGACACTCACTGATTACACACACACACTGCAAGACTAACTCAAAAATCATAACTTTTTTTTATTTTAAATTCACCCAGCCTCCCTACCTTTTGGAGAGCTGGAGTGGATGGGCTTTCCCTGGGGTCCTTTGGGGCTGCTATTTCCCTGCTCTGCTTCCTAGAGTGCTGTTTAGATTTGTTAAGGGGTTAAATTGGGTGAGCATCGGAGAATCCTCCTCGGGAGGAGACCTAAATACTTTTTATTTTTATTTATTTTCTTCTCTTTTTCTTCCTTTCCCCCCCTCCCTCCCTCAACCTCTTCTGCCACTCTGACTTCCCACCCAACACTACCCATGTCAGTAAGTCTGTTACACAAAGTTTTCAACATATAATGTGTTCTTCTCCATCTATAATACTTTGCATCACCATCCTACATAATCTGTGACTCAAGCCAAAAAAAAAAACTCCAGAAAGGTCCTAACACGGACTACCACCTCCAAGCACTTCACTCAATCACGTATGACCATACATACGCCGGGTTCGGGCATGGAATAAAGTCTGTGGAAATAGCAATGTAACTGCTCACAAGTTATGGATAAGATGTAATGCTAACCTCATGCGGAGGATGCTTGCTAATGTATATTTCCTTTTCCTTCCCCATTTTTGAATATACAAAACCAATAAATAAAGATTGTCCAAAAACAAACGGGTGAGAGCATAAAAGCCCTTAGTGTTGTTGATGGAATACTGTTTTTACACATTTAAAATTGTGGCCAAATAGAATTTTTCAGTCTGTGCAGCAACAAAATGTTTTTCTGTTCTAATTGGAATTTGACATATGAGGCAAAAAGATTTCTGGTGATGGGACCAAGCATAGTCTGTTCATATTTCATGATGTCTGGTATAGCGTTGTGAAATGTGTATGTAGAAATATATAATTTAGTGTAGATTATGACTCCCACAGTAATAGGCCGCAGCACAACTTGCAAATTGGAGGCCGACTTCCTAGCTGTAATCCCTTTGCATTAGTTGTTGAACTACATATCCCATAAATCTTCTTGTCCATTGCATTAATTTTGGGAGTTGTAGTCCATCAGTATCTGGAAAGCCACAGTATAACTATGCGTGAGTTTCTTTTGTAAAGAATTACAATGTACTGTGCTTTAACCAGAGTCTTTTATTGTTTCCAGGGGTATCAGCTGACTGCCATAGCTTTTGACTTCCAGCTGATTCACTTGTTGATACAGTATAACTTCCTGTCCTTGGGTGTGGGGGGAAGGGTGAAGGAAGTGATGTAAGACCCAACAGCTTTGTGTGAACTGTACAGTCTTTTAATAATCTGAGACAACTGACTAGCAGTACAGCCAAATCCTAGAGAACTCTTCTTCCTCTGATAGTTCTCCCTTATATATGTTATTACAAGATAAATCTGCCAGGGCTTGTAATTAATAAAAAGCAACTCAATGATGTTTGTTTTTTCTTTTGTGTTTTTTAAGAATCCTGCAAGGTAAATTTATTATACTGTGATACCTCTGTTTACAAATGTAATGCGTTCTCCGGGACGTTTGTTATTGCGAAAAATTTGTAAACCGAAACGCGGTTTCCCATAGGAATGCATTGAAAACCAATTAATCCATTCTGGAGGTCAGAAAAAAAGTCAAAATGAGCTGGCATGGAAACCAACCCACAATGCAGAACACACAGTAAAAGGCATGCAAACGACAAACCTCAGCTCCCTACCTTTCCACCACTTGAGAAATGCACCAAAAAGTCCCAAAACAACTGCAAAAAAAAATCCAGAATAGCTCCAAAACTCGATTCAAAAGCCGCTCCCACACCTCCACACTCTACGCCACGTGCTACCCACAGACTCCAGCATGCACGGGGCGGCACTATAAACCTCCCAGGCACAATGCATCCGGGGGAAACTTGCTTTGTATTGCGAAAGAAATTTGTCAACCAAGGCATTATTTTCAATTGTTTTTCATTTGTTAACCGAAAATTATGTTAACCGAAGCGTTTGTAAACCGAGGTACCACTGTATTTTGATAAGTGGGTCTCCATATTAACATTTCGATATCTAGATCTGACTATGTTCTCTTTAAGAGGTCTGCCAATTGTCTGAAATCTGTGTTCAATGTATTCCTCTTTCTGCCTCAGCCGTCTGCAAGTTGATTAATTTTTTTTTTTTTTTTTAAAGACCGTAACCAAAACTAAAGTGGATGCGGTCTCGCCGCTAAATCGTCTGAATGTTTACTCCTTAATTGTACTTCCATTGGACTGCTGTTTAGTTGTCTATTGAAATCTATATGTCCTCTATTTAATGTTACTGGCAATGCACAAACAACCAAATTTAAAAGATACTATTCCACTGATGGAGGCTATGGGATTTGGAATTGCATCCTGAACTGTATGGTCCTAACCACCCAATAACTATATACACCAACTCACAATTTCCGTCATGAAAATCACTTCAGTAATAACATCCAATATGTGCATCCATACGGATTTAATGAATGTATTCCTAAATTTACATTGTCCTACTCTGCTAGCGATGAGATTAATCACAGGTTTTTTTTGTTTTTGCACGCGTGTGTGTGTGTGTTGCTGCTCTGTGTGCAGATATATATGTATCATTAAAGGAACACTATAGGGTCAGGAACACAAACATGTATTCCTGATCCTATAGTGTTAACACCACCATCTAGCCCACCAGGGCCCCTCATGCCTCCATAAATATAGTAAAAATCTTACTGTATTCAAGCCAAACCACCTCCCCTCCCCCCACTCCAAAAAAACACAACCTGTGAATAATCTCATCGCTAGCAGAGCAGGACAAGGTAAATTTAGGATGTCTTCAGTAAAGAGATTTAGGATCTAGGTGTTTCCATGTGTATGGCACGTGACTGCACATTGGTAGAGTTATAATAATACACGATTTTACTACCTTGACAGAAGTTTCTGGATAATGTAACAAATATTTAAGCTGTTAAAACGGCAACATTGTATCTTGTCGGTACTTCTTTCTGTCATGCAGTCTTTTTGTGGTATCTGTGTTTGCAACTTCTTTTTAAGGTGGCTGGGGGGCTTTGTCTTTCCAGCTCTGATAAAGTGGATGAAATGCTTAGTTGTATTTTGTTGTACGTACTGTTTAGGATATTATAGAGTTAGAGCTGTGACTTGAAAAATGAACTGGCATTCCAGCATGTATAGTTAGTGGAGGCAAGATCAGAGATCATGTACGTCATAACATACCAATGTCTAGTAAAATGTTAAATTATTTTTATAAAGAGATTTTAAATCGTATAGTGAACTTATTTTAGGCATCAGAGTAGCCTTTAACCAATCTCCTTTCTTTCAATCGTCCTGATTACAGGCATGTCGTCCAGCTGCTGGCGTATCAGTGAGTGAGAATTCCTCTGCATCGTGCCCCACTGCAGACGTCATACGGGTAAGTGCACATCTCAGTATGGGAATAGGTATTGCGTGCGTTTGGGCTTTGATGCCTCCATATATTTGGTAATATTAAAGGCATACTCTATTCACCAAAACAACTTTTAGCTTAAAGAAGCTGTGCTCATGTGTAGATCATGCCCCGGCAGTCTCACTGCTCAATTCTTTGCCATTTAGGAGTTGGAGCAATTTTGTTTTTGCCCATGTCCTCGTCACACTTCCCCTGGCTGTGACTGACACAGAATGCATGAAAAATTATGGTTTCATTTTCATTCAGCCTTTTGTGTGTGATTAAGGTTAAATATGCAGAGCAGGAAATAAAGAAAAAAACTTCTCACTCGAGTTCACATCTGATTGAAGATGCTGTATTAAATATGTTTTGGAGCCCATTGTATTTGTGGTCACTGTGAACCTTTTTTACGGAACATGAGCAAAGAATGTCCTTGTATTTGAGTTCAGTTTTTTTTTTTTTTTTGTACGGAAGTATAAAGCGAGCTATAAATTGTTCCCTCTCTCCAACACACCGCACCAGTGTCTCTTTTCTTTCATCACTGTGTCACAATCATGCACGCACCCTGGGATCTCTGTTGCAGGTCTATTATTATTGGGTGTAGTCTCCTTCCCTTGTAAATGTTCTTGCTATAAATATTATTTAATTGTACAGCACAAGCAGTGCTCATAACTGTGACTTGTTAAGGAATGTGTGGTGTTTCGTCAGAGGAAGACCAATGTAAAAATAGTTTTGTTATGAATAATAGTTTCTGAACGCTAGAGCCTAACATTCTCCATCTTTAGGCCTTGTACAGTGCTAGGGAGCAGAAACAGAGATCAAAGCTGTCAAAGCCTCAGATTTTTGTTTCCCCTTAAGATAGAGCAGTTAAAACTTCCATCTCATACCACTGGACTTAAACATGTGCTGTCATCGCAATGGCCACTTTTCTCCTGTGTGACTTAAATTTTCTTAAACTGTTCTTTTCAGCGGCAGTGTCCCAGCAATAAAATGATTTCATTGGGTCAATAAATTTGTGGTTGAATTTAGGATGCTATGGCAAGTCAGAACGTGGACATGGCACGTACATTTTTGACTCCCTGTTGGCTAGATAAGATTGACAGATTGCAGCTCCTATAGACTGCATGACCGAAGACTCTCTATATGCTGCAATGATAGAGAATGTCTTTCACAGCTTCATAGAAAGCCCCGAGATCATTTTAGGACATTGCTGGTTTGACTCTGCTATAATATCAGTATCTGTGAACACTACTATGCTCTCTGCACAGAGTAAGTAAGCATGATATCCACTTGTCACACTGAGAGTTGTAGGAGCAGGTGTTGGTTTTTACACTGACCTGAGACACAGATGTCGAGATGGATCAGTCCTTGATGTACAGCTTTCTTTGTGCAACCTGATCCTGAGGAGAGGTGTGGCGACTAGTGACCTATAGAAGAAAAATTAGTACAGTCAGGGTTTAAATCAATGCTAGTGTGTGGCTTCCCCTAAAATATTGTTGACAAGTGGTGCCCTCCCTGAATCCCCTACATCAGTGGTTCCAAACCCAGTCCTCAAGTACCCCCTACCAGTCCAGGATTTAGGGATTACCCAGTTGTGTCTAAGGTGTTTTTTAGGAGAGAAAAAAAAACACTTTAGACACAACAGGGCAATCTCTGAATCCTGGACTGGTAGGGGAAACTTGAAGACTGGGTTGGGAAGCCCTGCCCTACGTCATGCAAATGTTGGTGTCCCTGCTTTATTGGTGCCAGTTTTTCTGTAATTGTAGTTAAGTAAAACATGAGGTTTTAACCACTTTTGGTATGTCCTATCAGTTTAGTGAATAAGTCCCTTTTGAGTTTTTTGAGCATTGATGGAGATTAGTGTAACTAATGTAGACTTATTCTGAATACCCCTGGCTACTGTAAGTGAATGTCTCTAGAACAGGACTCAAACTACCTTCTCACAGACCTTTTATGGTCCTCTAGTTTCTAACAGTCTGTGGGTGACATGACGGGTGTCCAGTGTTTGACTGCACAGTCTACATGTTTTGTTTGGAGAGTTTTTTTTTCTCCTCCTTCCACCATCTTATCTACCATAGTACAAGAAGTGTTAACCGGCTATGTCCCAGCATGCTGTTTCCCCTTTTATTTTATATTCCATATCTCTAGAACATATTCCAACACTTTTCTTCTCTAGCTGAACCGCATTAAATCGCTGTTTGGTGTTTTATTTAACAGACCCCATTGACTGTGTTGGTAGTTGAAACTCAAAAGACCAATCAAGTCTGTCCCTGTTACACGTGAACTTTTATTTATTTATTTTTTTGTTGCCTGGGACTTGCATTAGGCTACCAATATATCTTCTGTATCTTGCATGTGCTCGTGTTTGTATCTCTGCACTCATTTTTTTTTTCTTCTGTTCTTTGACAGAGAATGAAGTTTCTGCTGCTCCAACAGAAGTATCTGGAATATTTGGAGGATGGCAAGGTTCTGGAAGCACTTCAAGTATTGCGCTGTGAACTGACTCCCCTGAAATACAATACAGAGAGGATTCATGTCCTCAGTGGGTAAGCATTTTGTATGATGTCATTTTGTCTGCAGAAATTATAGCTACCACTGTACAGACATGTTTGATTGCAGCAGAAACACTATGGTTCAGGCAGCCTCTGCCACTCCCACATGCATTGTGTTCACAGCAATGCTATTTCAATCCTTGCATATTTAATTTTTATAATTTATTTTAATCCTCTCCATTATAAAATAAAGAATGTAAAATTAATTAAGTTAATAATACATGTAAGAAGCTGATACAGCAGCAAATAAACAGACTAATAAATAGAACTGCAATGGGTTTTCTGGACTTCATGTACCGTTTCTAACAGTGATGTCATATTCTGGCATCCCTGCAGGGCGCGCAAGAGGGAGCAGAGCAAGAAGGTTGCAGGCCCCTCCACTCTGCCTCAGCCGGCCACCACAGAGATGTGTGTTGGCTGATTCTGCAACAGCTGAACAGGCTGATAAACACCCAGGTGTCAGGACAAAACTCCTAGTCGCAATGGCGACCTGGTGCCTGGAATTTTTTTGAGCCCTGACATATGTGGCTAGATCTTTATAAATTAGGAGATTGAAAATACTAAAAGTCTAAAAAAAAAAAGAGGCTCAGAGCTGGGGTGTTTTTCTTTTAAAAAAAAAAAAGAGACAAAATATAGAAAATACTGAATACATATTATGACTTGAAAATCAGCACTGAGTACTGGTACACAGAGTTTATCCATATAATATATAACATACTGGTTCCATAGTTAGTTTTCACTAGGTTTTTTAATCACTTTACTATTCTATCTCAGCACAGAGTTACCATATTTAGGGGAGACTGGCAGAGGTACTAGTTTCTCTCTATTTCTTATCTTGCTTTCAGGGACAGCATAGAACACCCTTGAAGGTGTTTGCTTTATGAGCTATAGGAACAATACCTTAGATTTATAGTCTCTCCTCTGCTATGCTACCCCTCTACACCTTCTTTAATGAGGTATGATTTTTTTGCTACATCTCATTAGGGACAGTATAGAACACCCTCAAAGGTGTTTGTTCTAGGAGCTATAGGGATTTCAGTTAAGGTTTATATCTCTCCTTTTCTATGCTGCCACCTTTTTAAGCCTTTTCTGATGAGGCATGATTTCTTGCCATAAACTATTAGGGACAGGTGTTTCATTTAGGATAAATAGGGGTGATTTATTATCCTTTATATATTTTTTAGCTACATTGTAATCACCTGGCTGCCTTTTTCATGATCATTATTTCTACCTCATTTTTTTGAAGTTAATAACTTTTTCAAAGCCTCTCTGTCTGCTCACTTCCCTTGCTGATACATAGTGTATTTATCCATTTTAATCCTTATTCCGAATTTCCATTGGTAGTGCCTTTCCTTATTTGAATCATAATAAAGTATTTCTAATTTACATTTTTTTTTTTTTTTGGCACTCTTTGGAACCAGTATGTTATATATTATATGGATAAACTCTGTGTACCAGTACTCAGTGCTGATTTTCTAAGTCATAATATGTATTAAGTATTTTCTATATTTTGCCTTTCTGAGATTCATTTTTTTTTTGAGACTTTTAGTATTTTCAATCTCCTAATTTCTTACTTTGGGTACAAGCCCCTTTATTGGTGGATCTGGAACCACCATTCTGACCTTTGCATAGATATTTTTTTCCTTTACATTTAATAGATCTTTATAAATTATTTGATTAGCAGGCACAATACAAGTAATGAAATAATGGTGGTTAGGTCAATAAGGAGTAGGTTTTCTAAGGGCTGCTGGATGTCAAAAGCTGAAGAGAATAGCAGTTCTAAAATGAAGTCCGCAAGAACCATGCAGCTATGCAAGAAGGATGGACCACAATGAAGAGGACAAATCTATTATTTGTCTTATATTGCAAGGTGACAATGACAGGACCACTGCACCCAAACATTGCATTTTCTTTTATTGAATTTTTTTTTATTTTTTTTTTATAAAACTGCAATGTTTACATTGACGTGACGTGGAAGCTCATAGAATTCAATGCTTTCCTATGAAGCACTGTGTGCATGAGCCACTCGCATGCATGCACAGACGCACGCACATCCGGTCCTCATAGTAGAGCATTAGTTTTCAGCATGCCTCAATGATGTCACTAGAGACTCAGAGTTAAACAGCACTGGAAAAAGGTGAGTAAACTGTATTATTACATTTAGTGGATGTGTGTGCAACTAAGAACAGGGGTACTTTAGAGTTCGGAATACAGCCAACTATAGGATATATTTGGGGTGTAGGGAAATCGACTTCTAACTAGAAGCAGAAATAAAGAGAATGGTCTGAATATGAGACAAGGCTCCATTGCCAGTTGTCATAGAAAGTCAGGTGTGAGTTCTGCTGCTGAACTGGGTTAATCATGTCCGCTGGTAGGAAAAGACCCTATTTGGGTGTGTTTAATGGGAATGCCAAAATACAGTTTTGAGTGTAAATATGATGCTCATTAGAAAAAAACACGAATTGCCTATATACCCATAGTTCAGCATGCTATATCTTGTATATTTACCTTGTCCCAAGTACCTGTAGGCAGTAATAAGTTGTTTGCTGCACTTGTGTTAGTGGGTTTTTTTTTTTTTATTTTTTTTTATTTTTTATTAATGGTATTGAGTTTAAAAAAAGTGTTAAATGCAAAATATAATATCTCAGTTGTCTGGAACTTTGCCAACACCACTAGAGCTATGTGGATGTGCATTGTGGATATCACGAGTAAATTACACTTGTTCGGGAGGGGAAAATTATTTTTAATTGTGTATATGCATGTACCTTCACATTGGTCATCTTCCTCATTGGTACTCTGGACAATGTAGATTGGTACATCTAGTAGATGCCAAAAATTTAGATTTTTGTCGTGCTGTCTTGTGTAATTTAATGGGGGTTTTTTTGTGTGTGTGTTTTTATTTTATTTACTTTTTAAAATTATTTTTATTTAGGTATTTAATGTGTAGTCATGCTGAGGATCTTCGTGCAAAAGCAGAATGGGAAGGGAAAGGAACCGCTTCACGCTCCAAACTTTTGGATAAGCTACAAAGTGAGTGTTACTCTTCTCCTTATACATTTATGATTGCTTTTGGTAATATTTTAAAATAAAAATGTATTTACATCTGCGTACGGGTGGTTAAAAGGTAGATCTCCAACACTTATAATTGCAGTACTAAAAACTACATTTTGCCAATACATATTGCCATATTTGCATTTATTAGCAAATCGTAAAGAACTCTTATGAGTTACTGTATTGTCTGCCTCTATTACACAATCATGATAAATAAGGTCTCACTTTGATAGCTCTTTTAATTATCTTCGAATATTAACCTAAAATCTGACTTCCTCTTGAAGCCTACTTGCCACCATCGGTCATGCTGCCCCCAAGACGTTTGCAGACACTGCTCCGGCAAGCTGTGGAGTTACAGCGAGACCGGTGCCTGTACCACAATACAAAACTTGACAATAACTTGGATTCTGTGTCTCTGCTTATAGATCACGTCTGCAGCAGGTACGTGAATACCCATAGTATTCCGGTACAAGTTTGGTAAATGTGCTAGGCTATCTCCTTATAGAATGATGGGTGCAGGCTTCATATAATGAACATTTAAACAGATACAATTGCCCTTTGCTGTGTATGGGCCAAATACTGGTGTGTTTTTTGTTTTTTTTTAAATCATTATTTTACTAATGACTTATCTCTCTCCCTCCTCCCTCACTTTTTTCTCTTTCTCCCATTGAAGGAAGCAGTTTCCATGTTTCACACAGCAGGTCCTTACAGAGCATTGTAATGAGGTTTGGTTCTGTAAGTTTTCAAATGATGGCACTAAACTAGCAACCGGATCAAAAGACACAACTGTTATAATATGGCAGGTTGATCCAGTAAGTATTAATGTTACATTGCTTTATTGCTTTTTAAACCTGTTTTGTTAAAACGTGTTGCTTAGCAGAATAGAAAGGCCTCAGTGTCATTTGTTTCCTTCACACCACAATTGTAAACTCTGATAGGCATATACTTGTTTAAAATATTTTACTGAATGCAGATAATTTTAAGGATGGCTCATACTGTAGATTGTCACTAGTGATTTTTCCTTTGTCTGTATTAAACCTTTTTATTTATGTATGACAGTATCAAAGAACACTGAATTATTTTATTTACTTTTTGTACGTATTGGTAGAACACTAGGCCAGTGTGGGGCCTGCTGTATGAATGTCATGGCAAGTGTGTGTTTATCTCCCGTGTAAGTAGGCTTGCCTAACTGGCCAATCTTGCTTGCTTTTTTATTTTAATCTTCTAACACAGTCCCCAACGAGGATGGCTGTAACTATTCTTACAAGCTCATGTTGTGCAGTGGTCCATCCTCATAAGATGCTCCATGTCTGCACTGCATAATGTCCCTGAGTCTCGCTGCCTCTTTTGCTATAATTATGGTCAATCTGGGATCACCTTGTTTTGAGTTGTCAAGTGACCTCTTTAAACACACACACAACAAAAAGGAATGTTAATTGCCACCATTCTAGATTCAAAGATACACCGCACATCCCAATCTGCCTTTTCATATTTCTATTGTGTTAGAACTGTCAGTATATTTCTCCTGTTACCAATTCTTTCCTCTATAGTTTTACTTGGACTGGTTAGTTGACATGCTCTTCTTAGGAATATAGTTAATCTTTCTGCTTTATGGCTAAATATTAAAACAATGATTTTGTTGATATTTGGAATATATTATGATCCGTTCTTGGACCAGGCTTTTAGAAACCTTTCTATGGAATTTGCTCTAATTTTGAAACTGTGCCTGTGTGCAGCAAAGTATTTTAGCATTAAAGGCAAACTAACAAAGTAAATTACTCCTCTGTTTGAAACCTTGTATAAACCATGTGATTAAAAGAAGTAACCAGGTCACGTTTGAGTGAGTTTGCCTACTGCTCCAGGCAAACTCCTCCCACACCAGGAATAGACTCTTACCACTTAAACCCCGGCCCAGTTATTTGTGTGGTTGAGGGAGTGGCTCCAAGACCAGGAGACAGCACCATATCCAATACAGTATAATGAGCTATGTTTGAAGAGTCCCTCAGTGTTCCCTACTGCACTACGTTAGACAAGTGTGAATATATTTATATTGAAATCTGCTCTTTTTTTGTTTTCTTTCTTTCCTTCCACACTGTATTTTAACTGCATTTGCCAGGTGCTCCAGCAGATGGCAGCCATAGTTTCCAGTTGCACCAGCAAGAATAATGGATCATGATTTTAAAGTGTGCATCAATATGATAAATAATACACGTTATAAGTATGTTGATAAGATAAATATTTTCTGTCAAGCAATTTTGTGTAAAACAAAGTAATGGTCTCTAACCTCCTCTCTCCCCTTCTCCCCCCTTTCCAGGACACATACCAGCTTAAGTTACTTAAGACATTAGAGGGGCATGCATATGGGGTTTCGTACCTTGCCTGGAGCCCAGATGACAATTACCTCGTTGCATGTGGCCCAGATGACTGCTCGGAGCTCTGGCTGTGGAATGTACAAGTAAGCATTTTAATGGTGACTTAGTCTCACTGTAACAACTGTATGTAGAAAGACTTGTAGCAAACCTGTCTGTTGTACAGTGGGCTCCTAGCTAATTTCATTCCTGACATGGTATTGGGGTAGCCACCCAACCTTTGTAGGATTGCAACAATAGTATTATGTAATGAACTATGCCACTATTCTTGTGATTTACTCACTAAATACCACAAACCCCTAAACCACTTCAGCAAATACTTTATAAATGGGCTGATTTCAAGAATCTACCATAACTTCTTTACCAATGGTGTTTACTGTGCTGGGCTCAACAATCCAAAGCAATGTGTTTGCTTTTTGTAAATATGGTTGGTTCATTAAAGGTCTGTTAATGCTGTATGCATCTACTTTATTTTATTTTTCCCTCCTCTTTCCAGACAGGCGAGTTGAGGACAAAAATGAGTCAGTCTCATGAAGACAGTTTAACCAGCGTGGCTTGGAACCCAGACGGCAAACGCTTTGTTACAGGAGGACAGCGAGGGCAGTTTTACCAGTGTGTAAGTCTTTCATTATGTGGACATGTTAATTGTTGCATCCTACAGCCTGTTTAAAGGGACACACCAAAACTGTTGTAGTAATTAGGCTGCCAGGAGTACCCTCCCCCTCAACTAAGTAGTCAAACTATTTTACTTTTTACCGCTACCTGCCTCTCTGCAACCTAGAAGCTCTATGACTGAGTAAAGCCTGTTGGTGCAGGGCATAGCTCATTAGCTGTCATTCTCAGCTGGCCCTGTACGGAGAGTTTAGTGTAAGCACCTAGGTGCTTCTAAGCCTTCAAATAGGAGGAGGAGAGGCAGGAAGCTGGGCCCAGCAGACCCTAGGTAAGAAGTCAAATGGTTTGACTACTTACATTGAGAGGACCAGGTTAATACTGGCACCATAACTACTTCACAAGCTATAGTAGTTAGATTTGGAGTGTTCTTTTTAATGTGAATGAATCATGCACATTTCTGTTTTTCTTTCTCTTCAATGTAGGATTTAGATGGAAATCTACTAGACTCCTGGGAAGGTGTAAGAGTGCAGTGCCTGTGGTGCTTAAGCGATGGAAAGACTGTCTTAGCTTCAGACACTCACCAGCGAATTCGAGGCTATAATTTCGAGGACCTTACAGATAGAAATATGTGAGTTAAACCTTGGGAAGCAATGTGATTATCTTCTATCCCAGGCTGCAAAGGATACTTTATGCTCCATAGCAGCTATACGTTAGTGTAGTAATTATGGTCCCTAGAGGCTATGAGTAATATTCCTATGGCTTTTGGCAAAAATGCTACAAACTACTATGTCACTGCAAGGGAAGTTAAACTTATGTTTTGTGGTTTGTTTCTTTTTTATGTTGTGTGTGTGTGTGTGTGTGTGTGTGTGTGTAAGTGTAAGCGTGTTATAGAGAAACCTGTGATTGGACTGTTTCACTGACTCTGAGCACATGTGGGCAATCTGAGTTGCTAAATACAGGGGGGTTGGCGAGAGGACAAAACGAAATAGGAGCAGTAGAGGGAGAAAGGGAGAGGCAAGCCATGCTATACCGGCAAGAAAAAGATTAATACGCTGGTCAGCGAGCACTTTGCGCTGTAGACTAGCGTAAAGTATGCAGAGTTAACATTTGGCTACCAACTGATATTTGGGCTACCTAATTGATAGGTGTCAAGGAGAGGGGGTTGCAACTATCCCTCATTTCTCCGTTAAAATAACTCAGGCAGTGTTTCAAACTGAAACATTGCACATTCAGGCTCTCTACCACCATGACTACTTCAAATCACTAAAGTGGTCATGGTGTTTGGAGTAACGCTTTAAGCACTGAAGCTGGCTCTGTGTTTGACCTATGTGCTACAATCAAAAGAGACGTAAAGAGGGGTAATATTTTTTGCATTTGAAGTATTAGGTTACTTAGAAACGTTTGACAAATTTATTTTTTTTGTCTCAAAGAAATGTGCTGAATTTAAGATTTTATATATCGGTTTTCTTTTGTTTTTGTTTTTTTTTTCATCTATATTTTAGAGTGCAAGAAGACCATCCTATAATGTCATTCACAATATCAAGGAATGGAAGACTAGCTTTGTTAAACGTAGCAACTCAGGTAAAGTCTCAGATGCATTAAATCCTGTATGTCTTTATACATTGGATTCTATATTAGTTATGCTATATATTTGTTTTTAAATCTATTTCATTATTACTGTGTTGATTTCTTTTCAAGGGTGTTCATTTATGGGACTTGCAAGATAGAGTTTTAGTGAGAAAATATCAAGGCGTAACTCAAGGCTTTTACACAATACATTCGTGTTTTGGAGGTCATAATGAAGACTTCATCGCTAGTGGAAGTGAAGGTAATGGAAGATTTAATTGCTCATTACAATGGGTGTCAAAAAGTTCCGATACCTCAGATTTCATCAAAGTGGAGGAACTGGGAACATCAGACATACATGTTGTGTATTGTTTCAGCTCATGAGTGTGTTTTTAAGCAAAATGTGAAGGAATGTGATGTTTGCTTTGTATTTCCACTATTGTAGTTTACGGTGACTAGTGGTATTTCTGGTTGGTTGTTTTTGTTTGGTTTTTTTAAGTTTAATTACTGCCTGTTTAAAAAAAATTTGTTGTCCCCTCCTCCTTCTCCGTCCACAGACCATAAAGTGTATGTTTGGCACAAACGCAGTGAGTTGCCCATTGCAGAGCTGACCGGGCACACACGCACTGTAAACTGTGTGAGTTGGAACCCTCAGATTCCCTCTCTGATGGCCAGCGCGTCTGACGACGGTACTGTTAGAATATGGGGACCAGCACCTTATGTAGACAACCAGGAGTTTGAAGGTAATGTAGTAATCTGTGCTGTTTAGAAAACCTTTTATAGATTTCTGCAGGGTCACACTGTCCCCTTTTCACAAAGCAACTTCCGGACGAGGTACTCTGCTTGGCTAATGAGAGAACAGTGTGCACTGAGCTGCTGACATGAATCCAACTCACAGCCAACTGCTCTCCTCTTATTGGTCTCCTTTTCCATTTGCATGGCTATGGGAGAGGAATCAATTGATCTCTCATTGACTGAGCTACACTGCTCACCTTCCAGTCAGGAGTACAATATGTGAAAAGGGGAGAAGTGACTGTGGTTGGAGTTATGTAGCAGAAAGCTATTATATATTAAGACTGAAGTACACATTCCAGTATGGGATGTTCCTATAAAAATAATTTTGCAACTCACTGGTCTGGTTACACTCCAGAACATGTATCTCGTTTTGGGGAGAAGTTATTCATTAAACTTGAGGAAAAGGACTAACTGATCACTAAATTAAGGTGTTTGCAAATATTTGCAGCTCTGCTGTTTCATCTTAAATTTATTTTGTATTATTTCACGATCTGATCAGCACACTTCCAGTTCAGTGAATAAAGCATATGCCGGTTGAAATAAGTGTATATATTTTCTTGCATTTGGAGTAAAACACAGTTAATTTCATTATCAGCTAGGACTCTGCCCATTTATTTATTTTTTGCGGGGGAGGTGGGATTGTCGGACGACATTAATGTCTGACATGGGAATCAGACTATTAGGACAATGTCTTCACACTATATAATTAAGCATATGTTAGAACTTGGCAAATCATTAAATTGCACATGTATGTGTTTTTATATAATTTATTGTAGACGTTGTGCAACTGTGATGTCAATGTGGTTTAAGTAAGTTAAAAATTATCTCTCTCTCTCTCTCTCTCTCTCTCACACATGTTCTTACAATTCTGTTCTAGAGGAATGCAGTAGCATGGATAGTTGATGGCGATTTTGGCGCAGACGACTTCTCTAACTTAATATTAGTCGTATTTTTTAAATGGCTTGGGATTGGTGCAAACAAACAAGATTGATAGCTGGACAGACGCTTGCTGAAGGAAAACACAAAAAAACAAAACAAATTCAAGTCTGATGCCCTTCTTGGGCCAAACATCTGCCACCCTGCTTCATAGTACCCAGCTCAGATGAAGCACGTCGTTAGAATGTTTTTGGACACCGTGTCTCCCCCCATCGGTTGTGAAGAACTGTGCTATATTCAGGCTATCCATTGAACTCAGTATATTTTCCCTTCTGCCTCTTTGTCTGGCAGAATGCCATCCTTGTTGCTCTTCTGTGTAATGACGTTTAAATGCTTGTTTGGAAAAAAAAAATTATTTAACAGTTTAGAAGGCTTGATAGAGTGCTTTAGTCAGAGTATCCGTTTAATAGGGAAGTACTTCCTTTCTCTTGTTTCACACACAAAAAACTCTCCGCCTTATTTAGCCTGAGATCTTTCCAGCTTGGTTCATGGATAGTAGCCTTATGTTTTTTTGTTTTTTTTTCTGTTTTGTTTTTTTTGCAGAGAACAGCAGATCCGGTTCCAAGCAGTAAAACGATGTTCAGGTCAAACAAAATATCACATTTGACAATGATAATTAAAACAAAAAACACAAAAAAAAGTTTTGTACTTTTCAAAAGATATTACAAACCCACAAGTGTGTTATACCCCTGTAATGGGTTAACAGCACAATTTTTTTTAAATAAATTAAGTATTTATAGGACTATATTGACTTCATTTGTATAAGTTTAAAATTCAAACCAGCTATTGTATCTACTATTTACACACCACAAGAGGCATTTGTCTTGTGAACCAGCCTCGTTGCACAGACAGTCCTTGCAGGGAGGAAATGGGAATTTATTTTATTATTATTTTTAATGGATTTCCTTTGTAGATGTCAATTTCTTTAGCTGCTGATTTTGAGTAAATTGCGCCAAGCTGAGGCACAAATTTTAATATCTGGCTAAAAGGTTTTCCTTAAGCCCACTTAAAAGATGTGGTTGGATGCATGATATAAAATCCATGCTTTAGTTTAGTGATGGCAGGAATTGATTAGATGCATATAGTCCATAACCTGGCCTAAATGTGATAGACCAGCAGTCAAAACTATTTCTTTCCAAATGTTGGAATGTGTAGTTTTACTTTTGCCTTCCAGCTGTCTACTTAAACCACAATTCCTTGCTCTACAGCTTCTGGCTTTTAAATGCTTACTCTCCATTTATGTATAAATATAATATATATATTTCGGGGTTCTGTTATACTTTTTATTTTTTTTCGTACACCTCATATACCATACAGTATCAGTACGCCTACAGTACTTGTACCATGATACATACAATGGGATGTCATACTGATCACAGCTGCTAGCGCTAAAATTGACTCACACATTTTGTGCTACATTGTAGGAACTCTAAATGCCCTGCTTACGAAAACAGTGTGACCTTTACTCCCATTTTGTCACAAATATGTCACTTGAGGTTGTTTTGCACAAGTTAGGCTTTAATCTCCATCCGTTGATGGCTGCACACACCTGTCTTAGAAACAAAGCACTTCATTTAAAATAAACATAGGGTGATTATCACTTATTGTACCTTAACATGTAGGCTCCCATTGTTACATATGGATTTTTTTAATTTTATTTAAAGGCAAGTAGATTGTGAATGTGCATTAATCGTGGTCATCTGGGGGATTACATGATAATTAGATAATGTTTTGGTGGTGGTCTCAAAATGTAGATTGTAAATTGGAAATGAAAAAAATGTATAAAGATGGATTATGGCTCTTTAACAGTACAATAGAGAAAAGGAATTGTGGTCATCTCCCCCACTATTCTAGTCCTGCACTCAACATTCTAGTTAGGTGATGGCCAGTGACTGGCTAAGCATCATGGCAAATGTAACCTTTCACCGTTTGCATTGCCAAGGTTTCCCACTGCCTGTCTAGTCCTTTAAGATTCCATTAAAGGTTGTTTTGGTATATTGAGGGCTTTAAAGTAACACCCATATAACATGTTGCATAACTCGTAGACTCTTCAGTTATCACAGAATACGTTTTTGTTTTGTTTTTTGTCTTTTATATGTATACTTATAAAATCACCCCTTCTCTTACATCCCATTATTTTTCATATAATCTCTGGTTTATAAATGTTTTGTGTTGCTGTTAGTGGGTCATATTTAATGGATTCTGGGAGGGCTAGGCAGGTGATTAATTTCACTCTTGTGGGTTACCAGGACTGACACACAGTTTGTATTAAATATCATATCCAATCTATGCAATGCCCAAGGCAGCTTTGTCCTATTTCCTGGGGCTTTGCTCTGGGACGGGTCCTAAAGCTCACCTATTTGCCAACCTGCTGCATATGTGCTCTACTAATTAAACCGTGCGTTGTCTTGAGCTGACAACAGACTTGCGAAAAAGATTGGTTGTAAAACATCTTCTCCTACCTTTAAACCTATTGTAAACTGGCTATTGTGAAATACCTGTAGCAAGTTGGATGCCTGCTTTAACCCGTCCCCGTTTGGCAGACGCTATTTCGAGTAGTGAGTTCTTGAGTGTACAACGTGCAAACCATTGCCTTAAATGCTAAACTGCTAAGATTTGTACTAACCCTTTTATTTATACAGCCTGATTTTTTTTTTTTGCTACTTATCGCCTAAAAAATAAATTGTCAAAATAAACATAGAAACCCTTGATCCTGTTATAAAGATAAAACGGACTTTATTTTCTAGTTAACGGGCTTCCCATAATTTCACAATTTAGTAGGGCTGTTTTACCTGATCTGTATTACAGCATACTGCTGTCCTAAGGTTCAGGTAAGTAGTTTACAGACTTCTCATTCCAGGTGTTATTGGACACTAATGTCCTGGCTTTATATGTAAAAATGGAAATTCTAGATTATAAAGTCTGAAAATGAAGCCTTTGGTTTTATCTTCCTTTGCCTTTAGTAGACCTCATTTCTTTTCCAAAACCCCATATTTAGTTTAAGTGTTGAATACTGAATACCTCTAAAAATGACTGTAATAGTTACATAAATATTGCCAGAGAGTCATGCAATGTGTTTATTTGGTATTTTTATGCCAAAAGTTTGTATCCCTGAAAACATTTTGGTACATGTCCTTAACCAGTGAAAGTAGGGTCTTGTTCTACTGCTGCACTAGACAAAGGCTCTTGTGTCTTAGACGTCCCCAGGTCAGCGACTACTTACTCATGACCACACTGCTATTCACTATTACTCCATCCCTTTTATATATCGCCTCCTCTCCTTCCCGGCATGGTAAGTACTCAAGAACAGTATGTGTTGTACGATTATTGTGCTTTGTTTTGCGTTAGGATGTGCTGTTCAAACCTACACAATCTCAGCCACTCCCTTTGTTTTGTTTTATAGGGAGAGTATGGGGAATATGAATAGAGATTTCTGTATCTGCATTCTTTCTAAAGCATGAGAACCTATCACAAGGTTTATCCAGTATTCACTGGAAAGTTAAAATTTTTTGTTTGCCTACGATTTCTCTCCTTTGCCAGTCATTGGTTACTTAATCCAGGACTAATGTTTCTTCAAAAGTAATGATTGATAAAGCTTTTAAAAGCAGTTTTACTTTCCCATCAGGTAACATCGAATTACTAGGTCCATCAGTCAATTTCTATTGCTTCTGTAATTTGCCAAAAAAAAAAAAAAAAACTAAACCTTTACCTTGTCCCAGGTAATGTGGATTAAGTGACACGAGTGGTTAAAGGCTTCTGTGCGCATTAGCAAAAAAAGTCAATGGAACCACCTGCATTTGGCACGTCATGTGATTCTGAGCCATGTTTAAAGTCTCCACAGGAACTCCAGTATATTTTTATAAACGTAAATTTCCACGTGACACCATCCTTTATTCCCCCCCCCTTATTTAGTGTCAATCATTTACTAAACGTGATTTTAGAGCATTAATCCTAGCAGATGCAGGAACCCTTAATGGCATCTCAGAAAAAAAATAGAAAAAATATATTTAAGGGGTTTGGTTGAGTACAGACCCACAAAGCATGTGTTACGAACCAAGCTGTAGGGATCAAAAAATCCATTTTTATTGATCTCAAGATTTTTTAAATTGTCGAGATTTGTATGGAGTTGTGGTGGAACTAGTTAAACAATTAGAGCTTTTGGTATGTAATGACTATTTGCTATGGACTGATATTAAATGTTTCAAAAGATTGCGTTCTTAAATTTTTCTGGATTTTTTTTTTTTCTTCTTCTTGGTTTCTTTTGAGCTATTACACAGTTTCAGTTTCTTTGTATATCACATTAAAGTATAACGCTGGGTCTTCAATATTTATTTTTCACTGTTTTACTAAATATTTAGGGAACACCCTAACTTTTTTTGTTTAATAAATGTGTAGTGTTTTTAAACTTTTGTTTATTTTTTTTTTTTATATACATATATACTTTAAAAAATCTTTTAATAGGTTTTTTTATTTTTATTTTTTTTTTATTATTATTAATTGACCATGTCAGTGCACGGCACTCAACAAAATCGTTTGTATTCCCTTTCTTTAAAGTCAATAAACAGAATGAATAACTGGATTGAACCTTTTTTAGTTTTTTTTTTTGTTTTGTTTTTTTTTTTTCCTTAATCCTAGGCTATTTGCCAAATAGATATAAATATTCTCACACCCAAATACACACACTGTCTCATGGAGTACAATCTAGATAAAGTTGCGTAGCCGGCTTACAGCCTAAACAAAGTTTAAAAAAAGCACTAACCCCTGGAACGTGAGCTCCAAGTTACCATAACACCCCTTACAATAACTTTTATGCTAGTTATCCCGTATGCAGCTTCTGAAATAAGTAGTTGACTCACCTTTATTCCAGCACTGCACGGTTCTACCGACGTTGGCTCTGCATCCTTGGCTGATATTTTAAGAATTGATAATCTCCGCCAATTAAATGCCTTCCTTTGGGCTGAGATATTCAATTCTGACCTCTCAGCCAAAGAGGTGGGATGGGGAGTGGAGCCAAATGCCCCACTGGCCAATCGGCATCTCTATGGGGAAAGTTCAGTTAGTGTTGCACATTGAGCAGCACTGACCAAGGAAGCACCTCTAGTGGCTGACTTGGTGACTGCCAATGGAGGTGTCTCTAGGGAGAAATGTTCTCTGAATGCAAAATGCCTGTAGGGACTGACTATATCCATCAGAACAACTACATTAAGCTTTAGTTCTAGTGACTATAGTGTCCCTTTAAAAAAAAAAAAAAAAAAAATCTGCATGATGTTTCATGTTTCATGTTTTCAGTGAGTTAATTTTAGAAGTTATTTTAGAAGTTTGTATTGCCTGCTGTGTAAATTGAACTCCAATCCCTCTCCCTCAAGTTTAAATATTAGATCTCCATTTTACAGGAAGTGTTTAGGGAGGTTGTGTAAGTAACAGAGAACTGAGCAGTGAGATCAGAGGGGCATGATATATATACATCAAAAATGCTTAATTAAGATAAGGTTTTAGTGACTATAATGTCCCTTTAAACGAAAACCCCAAGCAACTTCTACAGCCTGAGTCTCCAGGAGGCAATCCCCATAAATATGTTAAACCCATCTAATACAGCTTGGCGACATAAGTGTCACACCGCCACTACCTCTGCATTCTCCAGCAGATCAAGATGTCTAAAGAATAAATTACAACCAAAGGACCTGGTGTGATGCGGGTGATGTAAGGACGTGCGCACGCATTGAAACGAGGCCTGCTGAGCTGAGTGAAAGGCGGCTGTATGTAACTGCGTGGTAGTGGTGGCGTCCTCGGAAGAGGAAACAACGGCATTGAAAATCTGATGGCAAGCTGAAACACTATACAGCACTTATAGAGATGATGGAAAAATAAAAGGAGCAACAAAGGGAAGAGAACGAGAAAATGCCACAGATCTCCAGCTAAACAGCATCTACTAAAATTACTGCTCCTACTCTGGGGAGGAAGGAAGTGTGTTAAATCCTCAAGCATACTAGACAAAAAGCAAAGTGAATTGTTTAATAAACAACAAATATCCTGAAGGTAGTGGAGATTACCTGTTGAAAAAGGGAAAGATATATAAAAAAAAATAATAATTTAGGGCCTCCTAAATGATTTTCAAACCGCTTCAATATACTCTTTAAAAGACAAGGATAAAGTGAACTATCTACTTAACAACGATTTAACGAATACTAAAGGGTGGTGGAGATTACCAACGATTTGTGAAAGAAATCTAAGAAATAAATGATATGGCCCACTGTTAAAATGCAGAAAAAGACACAAAAAAAAAGGATAATAAACAAGAGAAAGGTGTATCGGCATTTTTTTTTTTTTTTTCTTCCCAGTCAAATAAATCTGGTATAGAGAGTTCGACTATTGAAGAATCAATCATGGAAGATAGGAGAAATTCCTTGTCGGACTTACAAGAATTTATTAAAATCAATCTAGAAAGTCAAATGGAATTTTTTTTAAAAGAGATTCAAATAGTCTCAAACCAATTTAAACAACAAATAGAAGAATTAGCAATGAAATTAACAAAGATGGGAGAAAAATACGATCAAATGGCATTTCAGTATAAGACGGTTTTTAAAAAGCAAGAAAAAATGGAAATGAGAGCATTAGAAGAGAAAATTAATACAATAGAAGATAGACACAGAATGAAGAATATTCGAATCACTCTTCTTACTGGATTTTCTTCATTGCCCTTGACCTCAACCTGCGAAATCAAGATATGGTGATCGAAAATATGTATAGAGTAAAGAAACCACAAAATAGGCCTGAATCTATTCCGAGAAACACTGTGATATGTTTCTTCTATCAATTTAAAACAGGTTTTACAAGCATGTAAGCTAAAGGAAATTAAAGAAGATTCAAAACAAACAACATCTACCAAGATCTATTTCCTTTATATAAGATTATGGAGAGAGAAATTCGCTACATTGCTAATCCCACTTAACCCCTTAAGGACCAAACTTCTGGAATAAAAGGGAATCATGACATGTCGTGTGTCCTTAAGGGGTTAAACAACACAATCTAAGATATCGACGGGGACCTTCAAAAACAATAATCGTGTTCTGGAAAGACATTTTAAAGAGTTTTATCGACCCAAAAGAACTGGATAAAAGAATATATGAAAAAGTGGATTTTTCAACTATTCAGTTATAAAAGATGGAGAAAGCAGAAGAAAGAGAAAATGTTTAAAGGGGAAAGAGAAGGAATTATTTTAAATTTTTTTTTTTTTTTTGCACAGAGGGTATATACAGTGAATAGTGGAAGCACGGAAGAGTAGGGGTTGGACAGTTATTAAAAAAAACAAATTAGAGAAATGTATATATACAGTTACACTGACACACTGAAGGATGCATACCCTGACACGCGTTCAGATACACAGACATACATCGTCACGCACAGATACTTATCCTGACACACACATACACACCCTGACACACATGCAGATACGCAGAGTCACATAGATACATACAATGACACACTCAAGGATACACACCCTGACATACAGATACACTCATTAACACACACTTGCAGATACACAGAGATACATACACTGTGCTGTATATGAGGGGTGTTCTGTGTGTGTGTTAGGGTGGCTTAGCCCCCCCGCCCCATTAGTGTGTGACAGGCATGATGTGTGTGTGTGTGCGCGCGCGGGGTGCTCTGTGTTTGTGTGTGAGAGGTGCTGTGTGAGGGGTTCTGTGTTTGTGTGTCAGGGTATGTATATATGTGTCTGTGTATCTGCGTTTGTCAGTATAGGTATGTATCCTTAAGTGTGTCAGTGTATGCACACCCAGACACACATGCATATACACTGAGACACACACATTCCTATACTGACAAACATGCAGATACACAGACACATATATACATACCCTGACACACATACAGATACTGACATGCATCCTCACACACAGATACTTATCCTCACACACAGATACATACCCTGAGACCATGGGCGTCCGCAGGAATTTTTCCAGGGGGGAGCATAATTGTAATGACATCCATGCTTGGCCCTTTTTTGACAGTGTCATGAAAGGGAAGGGGCATAGTCATTATCACATAAAGCCAGGGTGAATAGCGTTTTCACAACTATGGTGTCAAGAACATATGTTTGTAGTCCTGACACTATAGTGTTCCTTTAAGCAAATTAAAGGACCATTCTGGTCACCATAACAACTTCACCTAAATGAAAATGCTATGATGCCAGGAAGCCCCTGGGTGCTCGCTTTCCTTTAAGGTGTTAAATCGCTCTCAAATGGTTTAACCTCAAAGGCTTCCTCCAGCTCCAGGTCGCTCAGTGGTATTTGGCTTCTGAAACAGAGTGTCAGGAAGTACAGATTGACTTCAGGCATGGGTGCCGCTGATTGGCTAGAGTGTACAGTTGACGCTCTAAGCCAATCGCTAGTTCCCGGTTCATAAAATATTTTAACTTTTTTATGAATGGGGAGCTACTGATTGGCACATAGATACATACATACGCTGTGTGTGAGGCGTGCTGCGTGTGTGTGTGAGGTGGGGGGGGGTGCTCTGTGTGTTTGTATCACTAAATATTATATATATATATATATATATATATTAATAAACTGTATGCCCCCTCTCCCCTCTTCTTACCTTTTCCCCTGGGAGAGGGGACATTGCCCTGGTGGTCCAGTAGCTCTGGCTGCAAGCAGAGTTCAGATCCTCGGAGCGTTGCTGTGGTAACCCGTGGCAACGCTCTGAATTGGCGAACTCGTGGGAGGAACCTTCTGCCGCCTAGCACCTCCCTCCATCTCCATTCTGCCTGTGGGCCGGTGAGGGAGATCCCACCGCCCAATAAAGTCACACAGCAGGGCCGGCGCTTGGATAGCAATGACCCAGCTAGGGCTGTGATCTTCCTTGTTGGCCCATCACGGCAAACTGAGCATTTGCCGATGGCCGGGTTCTCAACCCGTGCGGCCGCCATTACCTAAATCATTTTGTGTACACCCTGGGACACTGAATTGTACCCTGGGTTGGAAACCCCTGCGTTTGAGGATCTCAGTATGAACGCTATGAATAATAGTGTTAAGAGTGGTAAGTTTATCATGGGGCCCTCATCATCTAATTAGGGATGTATTTGGTTACCCGAAGTATATGTGTTGTGTTAAGGGATTTTATGTTTATTTTGAGAGGAGGACCGAGCTTATGAGAGAGAATAAAAAGGAAGCGAAACATATTTGAAGTGCATCTCTATGAACGTTCAGGTACTTAATACCCCATTTAAAAGAAAACTCTTATATGAATTAAAGGAGAGAATATAGATATTGCTCTGTTACAAGAGACCCACTGGAAAAGGGAAGAGAGAATCAGATGGAGATATGAGTTTTATGAGGAGGTTATACATGCATCTTTAATGGGGATGAAAAAAAAGGAGTCTCTATTGTTTTTTCTAAAAAAAAAAAAACTTCAAAAGGAGATAATATATTCAGAGTTGGATAATGTGGGAAGATTTCAAATTCTAAAATGCAAACTAAACTCTCAAATCTATACCCTTGTTAATATCTATCTGCCAAACGCTGCCAACTAAATTACTTAAAGTAATGGAAAAGGTAGAAA